TAGGAACTCACTTGCTCCGTATGATGTGAGGAAGTAGAAAGCATTATTTCCAGCATCTTTTTACCTCTGAGGAGACTGAGGCATGGGAAGTTTTAGAAACCACACAGTTACTAGGAAGTCAAGGCCCAGGGCCTTCACTGTTTTTTGAATTATATGTTAGAAATCACTATGTAAGAGGACAGAATTCTAAAACCAAATTACGTGGAAATACATACCACAATATCTACATAACAGGTAAGATAAATCCTCATGATAGAAGAACAAAGGCAAAGAAATCTGAAGGAGGTTGGAGAGGGGTGGAGGGCAGGTGCTTTGGGGGGAAGGGAGAGAGCTGAGACATGGCATTAGGTAACCTTCTTCCTTCTGATGGGTTACAGGTGTGTGTTCCCAACTCAGCTTGTCAACTTTTAACAGCAACTGCAGCAATAGAATGCCTGTATTTGTGCATGCTTGATTACATATACAAAAATGAAGTTAGAAGAAAGTACCATGGATCGTATTCACCAGGATTCTTGATCGCAAGCAATGAAAATCTATCACCTACGTGAAGTGGAAAATTATCTTGGTAAACAGAGATGGGTAGCTCTCAGCAGTACTTACAAAGATGGCAGTTCTGCTTGGAGAACAGCAGCAAATGTGAGACCCTGGGCCAGGCCTCAGCTGGGCTCCCAATCCAGTTACCCCCATGGGTAACTGCAGTGCAGCTCTGCCCAGCTCCACCCAGCTCAGCCCAGCTCAGCTAGGCCCTGCTCACCCCAGCTAGGCCCAGCTCAACCCAGGTAGGCCAGCTTGGATCAGCTTGGACCAGCTTGGCTCAGCTTGGCCCACATTGTCCTAGCTCAGCCCAGTTCAGCCCAGTTGGCTTCCTGGTGCTACAGAGTTGTATGTAAAACTTTGCAGGATGGAAGGGACTGCAGGCACCAATGTCCCCAGAGACCAGCCATTCCTGCTGCTGTTCCTGCCACAATTAATTCTCATCCAGCTCTGATTGTTTGTTTCAACCGCTCCCCATGCAAAGGTCAGGACAGATGAATGCCATTACCCATGAACTAGATACAAGGAAGGCAGAGGGTGCGGGAATCTGGTATTGGACTTCTGTGTGGACAGTGAGCTCTATTACTTTCAAGGGGAGGGGGCATTTCTGGAATATTTGGAAGGAGTATAAATGCTGGGAACCCCCTCCCCCAACCTAGTGTCTGGCTCCTAATGTGAGTTGCATGCTCAGCCTTCCATAATCATGCTTTGAAAAAAACATCACTTTCTGCTACTTGTTCTAAAACTTGTACCTGGAATTTTTTTTTAAAACAAGTGCAAGTGTCTGTAGCTACACCTGCAATCCTAGCTCCTGAGAAGGCTGGGAGCTGAGCACTGAGGTTCGAAGCCAGCCCCGTCAGAAAAGTCCATGGGCCTCTTACCTCCAATTAACCACCAAAGAAAAGGAAACATGAAGGTGTGACATTGTCCAAAAAGAAATGTGATCATTAACAGATTCACATAATTGTAACCTCTGTGTATACCACCTGCATAATAACAAAGATTTTTTTTTTTTAAAGGCAAAATGTCAGAATGTGACCTTAGCAAATGGTGAAGGCAACTTTGGACTCAGTTCAAACACCCTACAGTAGGGAGATGAAGCAATGAAATCCTCTTGCTATTTTCAGAGTAAATTAAGAGTTCTGTAAACTAGGCCAGGAAACCAAAGACGAACAGGAGATAGGAATGCCAGGAATCCCAATGAACTCACTGTGAGTTCATTACACATTCAGTGATCAACACTAGGCATCATTTGTGAATTTGCACTATGGGCCAGATTTTGTGAGTTCATGAATTGTCTAAAATATACTCCATGCATATTACAATTAGTAGACGTGAGGGTTGGGATTTATATGTGAAAAATGCTATCTAGTTCTCCCAGCCCAGCCAAGGGAGCTCTTATTTCTATCTTGGGCAGCAGCAAGCATGAGGGATGCGTGACCTATGGCTTAACCAGAAGAAAAGGCAGAGTGTGGTGCTGTGTCATCAAGACCTTTCATCTCTGCCTAAAGTAATTCAGTCCAGCAATGCACAGGTATCATAAATTATTCCTGATCACAGCTAGTCATTAGCCAAGTGCTCTGGAACAAACACAAGGCCGTGTTACGGCATAAGGACATTCTCATTCAAAGATGACTTCCACAGAAGCAAAGTTCTATATTTCTACTTTTTATGGTTTTTCTCCTCCAAAGGGAGATTGATAAAGTCCAGTCCCCAGGCCATGTTTTTCTTCTATGCTACTTATACAAACCTATCTATGTATGTATAAACAATACCACTCAGAATTCAAATGCAAGAACAGAAATCACTGCAAATATTTCAAACAGAAAGGGAAGAAAAATGATTATATATGGAAGACCAGGGGCCTGGTCTGTCTTACTTCTTTCAGAGAATCTGAAAGAAATCTCAAAACTCCTCTGAAAGAAATAAGACAAATTTCATCTCTAGTCTGCACCTTTAAGAAAGAAAACACCATTAAACTAGAAGCTGCTACCTCTGTCCCAGTTTGCTGTTGCCCACTAGAACTTAGTTCAAAGAGCCTGGAGGGGAGCCAGGGTTCAGGAAGCAAGTCCACATTCTTTGGCCTGAGCAACCAAGTGAATAGGGACGGAACTTAACAGGGGTGTGCTGGCTTTCTATCGCTGTAACAAACGCCTGAGATAATCAGCTTGTAAACAGAGAAGGCTTACTTTCCACTTAGTGTTGGAAAACCGTGACTGGTTGACCCTTTGCTTGAGCAGAGACATTTTGTCATTGGTGGAATTACAGAGCAAAACCATCTGCCTTTCTGCCAAGATAAAAGAGACAGGGAAAAGAATGGCCTATAGGCACCCCTTTCAAGAGCACACCCCCAAGGGCAGGAAGACCTCCCAGGAGGCTCCACCTTCTCCAATAATGCCATGGGCGGGCGGGTGGGGTCTTTAACACGTGGCCTCTAAGGGAACTTAGGCACACCACAGCAGCCTGGAAGGAACAGATGTTGGAGGTGAGAGGAGACAGACAGATCTGTGTTAGTTGCCAGTTTGAGTCAGTTCAAAGGAGCTGAGTAAGAAGCTGGTATGGAGAAGGGAGGGAAAAACTAGGAGAGAGCAAGGGAAGAAAGAAATGTACTCTTTAGTAACGTATAACTATAACCCCTCTGCACCTCACTTTTATAGTAACAATTTGTGGGGGAAGCTACATATGCATGTTTGGAGTTGTAAGCAAAGTCCATGTTCCAGGTTTAAAATCAATATAGGTCATGGTGCAATTTATTTAAGTTCAGTATAGGTCATGGTGCAATTTATTTTCTTTTGTAAAAAAAAAAGTCAACTTCAACTTTGAGACCACCAAATTCTTGAGATGTCTACTATTTCCCTTCTTTTTTTTTTTGTTTTGTTTTTTGGGTCCAGTCGTGGGCCTGAACTCTGGGCCTGGGCACTGTCCCTCAGCTCTTCTGCTCAAGGCTAGCACTCTACCACTTGAGCCACAGTGCCACTTCCGGCTTTTTTTTCTGCTTATGTGGTGCTGAGGAATCGAACCCACGGCCTCAGGCATGCAAGGCAAGCGCTCTACCACTGAGCCACCTTCCCAGCCCCCTTCCCTTCTTTTAATATATGCCTCTACCTTTAAACACAGAGAAACCTCCACAGCCCGGGGGTGGGGGTGGGGGGAAGTGCTCCAGAGCCTTTCTCTGGGCAAGTGGGAGCACTAGGCCATGGCCTGCCTATAATCCTGGAGCTGCCGCCGCCGCAACCCTCAACACAGCTAAGCTCAGGCCTCCAGCAGGATTCGGCCCAGCGTTTCCAAATACAAATGAGCCACGTGTGGAAGTCAGTGATTAAAAACAAACCTCACCCAGTTTTAGGCAGGTTTAATATCAGGTAGAATGTGTACAAAAGGGAAATAGATTCTAAGCCTTAAAAGATTGGAGTATGGGGGGGAGGGGTTGTTGCACTTTATTCTGCAAGCACATTTATTCTACAAGCAAGATGAGGACCTTTTGGAAAAGGCAGGCAGCAAGCTATGCATTTACTAAATGTGCCAGCCAGGACCCAAAGCTGCCAGACACAAAAGTTTCTCTCTGTCTCTTTCTCTGTCACCGCCCCCCTCCTGGTCCTGCCTGTATCTCCTGCCCAACCTGACCCCGCCTCCTCTACTCTCCCAGCCCCCACCACTGCCCCCTCTACCGTCTGTCTGTCTGTCTGTCTGCTTCCCCCCCCGCCCCCCCCCCCCCCCCCCCCGCCACTTGTGGGTCTCAGGCCTCCCTCTCTCCCTCCAGGCCTGCCCAGGAGAGGTGAAAGTCTGGAAAGTCTGCTCCCCAGAAGGGAAGCTGTGTGGAGAAGCCTTAGACACGGGAGGATTCTAGAGCCTGGGAGGGAAGGACTGACTCCTGCCTTACCCCCGGGGCCAGGCGAGACTCAGGGTGTTCAGGACCAGGCGTGACCTGTCTGCAGGCAGCCTATCCCAACCTAGGCCTGGCTGGAAGCCCCCATCACCCCAGGCGGGACAGTGCACTCGGGACCTAACCAAGAGGACCTGGCCCCAGTCCCCCAGTAAGCACAGACCGAGTTTTACTCCCGTGTGTGCTCCTTAGGACCCATATAAACCCGGCCCCCAAATCCAGTCCAAGCCAGGGTCGAAGTGGTTCCACGAGCAAACCGGAAGTCCCCAACCCAGCACTCCCTAATTACCGCCAGCCCTCAGGGAGGGGGCGTGGCCAGGAAGGGGCGGGGCGAGCCACAGGTATCGCTGTGGGCGTGTCCTGGGCGGGGAGCGGGGTGGAGAGCGGGGCTGGCGCCCAATGGGCGTGGGCGTGGCGGGGAGGTGGGCGTGGTGAAGCCGAGCTCTGGGCGTGGCGTGGCTGGGAGTGGGCGTGGCGAAGCCGAGCTCGGGGCGGGGCTGGGGAGTGGGTGTGGCGAAGCCGAGCTCGGGGCGGGGCGGAGCTGGGAGTGGGCGTGGCTGGCCCGGGCAAGGCTACCCCGCAGCGTCCGGCCGTCCACTGGCCCCAGTTCTTCGCAGTCCGGGGCGCTTTGTGTCTCGGTGGGAGGCGGCAGCCGGGTGCCATGGCGCTGCGCGTGGCCGTGTTCGACCTTGACGGGGTGCTGGCGCTGCCCTCGGTCGCGGGCGCCCTCCGCCGCGCCGAGGAGGCCCTGGCGCTGCCCAGGTAAGCGGGCCCACGCGCCACCGGCCGGGTCGGGGCCGCGGGGAGGGCCGGGAGCTGCCCGGCGGGGGCCTTGGCTTCCGCCCGCTCTGGGACCAGCCCCGGGAAGGGTGAAAGCGGTTACCTGCCCTGCGTTACCGGCGCGCGTCAGTGGCCCCGTTGCCTTCTTGATCGCCTGGTCTGAGCCTCCGACGGAGTCCGGGATCCGGCGGCTTTCGGGAGGCCCGGAGACCCCGGAGCCGGCGCGCGCGCTCCGAGGAAGTCCTGCCGGAGACCTGTGGCCGCTGCCCCGTCCCGGCGTGTGCGGGGCCGCGCGTCGCGTGGAAGTTCTGCCGGAGACCTGTGGCTGCTGCCCGGTCCGGGCGTGTGCGGGGCGTCGCGTGGAAGTTCTGCCGGAGACCTGTGGCTGCTGCCCGGTCCGGGCGTGTGCGGGGCGCCGCGCGGGTGGGAAATCCCACCGATTGCAGAACTACACGCGGGAGTTCCAACTGTGGGGAGGGGGGATATCCAGGAGAAACACCCCGACTTCGTGACCCCCGGGGGGGAGGTCTGGCAGCTTTGCATCCTGAGGTTTGCCCCATCGAGGGTTCTAGAATGGGGGGGGGCGTCCGGAGGACCATGGGGGGGCAGGTGGCGCCTGCCCCTATCCAGGTGGCCGCAGTGGGGCCGGTGGGGACTCCGCTCGTGCGCAGCCAGGTCCGGGCGGGGAGCCGCCAGCTCTCCTGGGGGGACTCCAGGGCAGCGGGAGCTCAGGTCTGGGCGGGGCTGGGGGGGCGCTACAGGCTGCCCCCCCCCCAGAGGTAGTGGGAGTGGCTGAGGACCTGGGGTGGGGAGAATGCCAACAGCCTGTCCTGGGACTTGAACTCAGGGCCTGACACTGTCGTTGAGCGTTTTTCACTCAAGGCTAGCACCCTGTCCCTTGAGCTGCAGCTCCACTTCTGGCTGTGGCGTGGTTGATTGGAGATAGGAATCCCACGACTTTCCTCCGCACTGCCACCCCCAGGTCCCAGCTTCCCCATCACAGGATCACAGGCGTGAGCCACTCCCACCCGGCCAGCAGGGCTGCTTAACCGTTGTGCCGCATAAATCATGAAAGCATCCAAAGCCACCTCAGTTTTCTCAGGTGTGGAAACGGGCTTTGCAAGGAACCAGCTTGTCCACACCACCGCTCCAACGGGTTTCCCTCCCTTCCCCCTCCTGCCTAGACTCTTTTTACCTCTGGTTTAGTAAGACTTTGCACCTCCCCAGCTGCTATTCAGAACACGATAGCAATCTTTCCAGGCTGAGTAAGTGCATCAAGAGCTGAGAAACAAAATCAAGCCGGCCCCGAAGTCCACGATCAAACCAGCCACACTCTAAACAATTAGGATTGGGCAGAAAACTTCACTTGAACAGGGGAAGCCCCCTCAGAGCCAAGAACACCCAGTGCAGGGCTTTTTTTGGGGGGGGGGAATGAATTGAGGAAAAGAAAAATGAACTCATTTCCAAGAAGTCATATTTAACAAATGTCATTTCACTACACTTTGACTCAATAATTTGATTTTAAAAAGAAAAAGGCGCAATCTGCAGGCAAGCTATGAGGTCTCTTGGTGCGTGTGACTTCATTGATGTGGAAATGCGTGTGATTTGTGAGTCTACAAGGCACAGGTAATTCAGAGAGCATGGGTGAAGGCTGGGCATGGTGGCTCACACCTGTAATCCCAGCTACTTGGGAAGCAGAGACAGGAGAATCATGGTTTAAGTCCAGGCAGGGCAAAGTTAGGAATGAGACCCTATCTTAAAAACTAAACTAAAGGCAAAAGAACTGATTTTTTGGCTCAAGAGGTAAAGTACTTGACTATGCAGTGTAATCCCCAGTACCACAATTAATTCATAAATTAAAGTACTGGTTGCTGCTGTCAGACCTAGGTTCTCAGCTTAGTTCTGGCACTGAGAAGCAAGCATGGCTTGCATCTTCTTTTCTAAATCCCCTTCTGCCCTTGTATGCCTTCAGTGATGGTCCTGTTCATTCCTAACTCCTCCATTCTCCAGGCAAAAACCCTCAGGTTTTCTATCTCACTCATCCATGGCGGCTTTCTATGTCATCTCCCTTGTTTCCTGTGAACTTCTTAGAAACAGAATGTATTTTTTCATTTTTCTCTCACAGCATGTAGCATAAAGTCTCATATACCTTAGGTGCTCATTTAAACATGGTTGAAGCTGGGCACTGGTAGCTCATCTCTGTAATCCAACCTATCTACTCAGGAGATATAAGAATTCCTGTTTGAAGCCAGCCTGGACAGACAAATGCTCAAAACTCTTATCTTTAATCAACCAGCAAAACCCTGAAACAGGAAGCATTGCTCAAGTGGTAGAGTACCAGCTCTGAGTAAGGAAGCCAAAAGAGAATACCCAGTACCAGGAAAAGATTGTTGGGTCCAATTGTATATTCCTTCCTAAACTGGAGGACAGGTGTGTGTGGCGTGGAAATGTTGTAAGGGCAGGAATGTCTCAAGTCAGAAATACAATGTCTACAGAAGTCTAAATTTATACAAATCATTGAGAATGTGATTCTGATGGCATGCAGTCATACCTTGATAAAGCGCTGTCCAGAAAATACTAAAGGTAAAGGGTGGCAGAGCCATTCCTGGTACTGGAAACTTGAGCAGGGCCGCAGGTAACAGGGATGGGCCTTCCTTTTTCTTTCTTTCTTCCTTTTTTTTTATGTCAGGCATGAGGCTTGAACTCAGGGCCTAAGCACTATCCCTGAGCTTTCTCACTCAAGGCTAGTGCTCTACAACTTTGAGCCACAGCATCACTTCCTGTTTTCTGGTGCTTAATTGTAGGGAGATTTTCCTGCTGGAGCTAGCTTTGAACCGCAATCCTCTGATCTTAGCCTCTTGAGTAGCTAGGATTTTAGGCATGAGCCACCAGTACCCAATCTCCTCCTCATCCTCTTCCTCTTCCTCCTCCTCTTCTGTCTCCTCCTCCTCCTCCTTTTTCTTCTTTCTTTCTTTCTTTGTTTCTTTGTTTCTTTCTTTCTTTCTTTCTTTTTTGCTGCCAGTACTGCAGCTTGAACTCAAGGTCTGGGCTCTGTCTCTTAGCTTTTTCACTCAAGGCTAGTGTTCTATCACTTGAACCATAGCTCCACTTCTAGCTTTTGGCTGGGTAATTGGAAATAAGTCTCACAGACTTTCTGTCTGGGCTGTCTTTGAACCATGAGATCCTCAGATCTCAGTCTCCTGAGTAGCTCAGGGATCAGCCATCAGCACCCAGCAAGTATGTCTTTTTACTATTTGGTCCAGAGCTGATCATTTTACCTGTCAGAAGGTAAGCCCGATGTAAAGGTCCTTGGCTGTTTATCAGAAAGGAAAATGCCAGGGTGGAGATATTTGTTCTCTTACTCAAGGATGGTAAATAACTGCAACTAGTTTGCCAGTTACAGTAGATAAGAGCAAAGAGTATTTATTTATGGCCCCTGCCATGAGGAATAACATGGACTGGTTGTCTCTCGTAAGGTACAGTCCAGGGTTACAAGTCCAAGATCAGGGGCTGGCCCCTCACAGTGTCCTCCCTCCAGATCTATGGCCAAGTTTTCTTTCCTCACAAGGACACCAGACATCTTAGATTAGCACCAGTGCCAGTGAGCTTATTTAACTTCCTTGCCTCTTTTTTTTTGGGGGGGGGGGGTTGTGTGGGTGCCGAGGATCAAACCAAAGCAAGCAAGCAAGCAAGCAAGTGCTCACTAAGCTTTGACTCCAGCCCAACTCATTACCATTTTAAAGACTGTCTCCAAATGCAGAGGATTAGAACTTCAGTGTAGCAATCTGGGGAAAGGTCTGTTTTAGCTCTTAACAAGGGAAGCTTAAAAATAAAAGAGAGATCAGAGGAAGTTATAATCACAGCATTTAAGTGGCTGAGGCAGGAAGACTAGTGAGTTCAAGGCCAGTCTGGGCCCGGCCAAAATAATAAAAGAGAAAAAAAAAGAAGATAAAGTAGAAACTATATGTGCACAATTGAAGCCAGAGGGAGAAACACTTCCTTCCTTTAGAAGGCTGTGAGCTGCGAGGGCAGAGGCTAGGCGCCCCTCGGCTTCTCCCAGGCTGAAGCAGGCGCCTTCCTCACAGTGGTTTGTGAATATAAATGGTGTCTGGAGTTTATCCGCTACCTTATCCACTGTCTTGGCAGTGGATAAACTGATGGGTTCTTTGTGTGTGTCTTCCAGAGGTTTCCTGAGTGAAACTTTCCAGAAAGATGGGCCGGATGACCTCAGTACCCGCCTCATGAAAGGGGAGATCACATTTTCCCAGGTGAGGCAAGGTACAGACCCAACCCCACACCCTTGTACACATTCTTGGCTTGCTTCTGTTTCCTCATTGGCTGAGGGAAACTCCCTACATTCTGTCATAAGTCTCTGTATACTCTGTGTACAATACACCCTGTGTGTCGTGTATTCAGGGCCAATCAGAAGACCTACAGCCTTCCCGGGTGACATTTAGGACCGGTTTGTGGTTTCTTTGGGCCAATCAGAGATTCCATTGTCAAGCCCCTGAAGAACGTTTCCAGGGACTCTACAGCCAGGGGAGTTAAGTTAGGATAGAGAGGCCACTGGGACTGTTAGATAACTCTACTTCAGAGTCAGGAGCCTGGAGAGACTGAGACAGTGTTCTTAGGAGGCAGTGCTCTTAGAAGTGCTCTGAATCAGAGACCGAGGTCCGTGGGTAGTTTCCAAGTTGGCTGTGTAGGGACGGTGCAGCCAGGGACAACATTGGTCCATGGCTTCTGGGAAGCCATGTGACGTTCCCAGTGGGTGATTCCCCAGCGCAGAACTGCATGGTTGCGAAATGCACACATTTGGAGCTCGTGGGAACCGCCCAGGATTCTCTGAGAATTACACCCTTTAATGATTCTCCTGGGGTCACTTTTACAGTGGGTGCCCCTCATGGAAGAAAACTACAAGAAACACTCTGCAGCGTCTGGAATCCACCTCCCAGAGAATTTCTCCATAGGTCAAATTTTTAGCCAGGCAGTGTCCTCAAGAAACATCAACCAGCCCATGCTTCAGGCAGCACTGGCCCTCAGAAAGAAAGGTAAGATTTGCACACTGCCACTCTCCTGACTGCAGCAGAACCCAGGGCAGGGCAGAGAACAACTAAGTATGATTACCAAATGGAGAGGACAGTGCTGTTAGAATACCCTGAAAAATAGCTGGACTTTATCTGGTTAAACAGCTTAGACCCACGATTGCCTTATAAACAGAAGCCTGTCTTTCCAGCAGCACGAGTATAACTGCTAACCCAAATGACCCAATCTCCCAGCACAGGTGAAAAAGAAAGCATTTTAAACAACTACAGTTTTGATCAAATGAGCTGACAAGCGTGAGAACAGTAAGGTACCAGTGATTAAGGATTCCATCCAAGCTAGGCTGAGTAGTTCACACCCATAATCTCAGCTACACAGAATGTAGAGATCAAAAGGAGTGTCGTTCAAGGACAACCCAACAAAAAGTGATTGAGACCCATCGTAGTGGCAGCAGACACCTGTCATTCCAGCCATGAGGGAGGCCAGGAGGAGTATTTCTGTCTGAGGCCAGTCCAGGGCAAAACCACAAGACTGTTATCTGAAAAGTGACCCAAAGCATAAGTGGTTCAAATGGTAGAGTGCTTGCTTAATAAGCACAAGATCCTGAGTTCAAATCCTAGTCCTGCCCTTTCTCCCCCCAGAAAAGATTGTAGCCACAGCTCACCCTCAGATCTGTGTCTGATCTGTGCTGTGCATGGGTGGAGATACGACTTGTCTGTTGGAAGTTGGCTCCATGTGGGGCATTTGAGCATTGGGGGCCAAGTTCTGTCACTGGGTGTTCACCACCCCTTTCTGCGCAGGGTTTACGACTGGCATCTTCACCAACAACTGGCTGGATGACGGCACTGAGAGAGGCAGCGTGGCCCGGCTGATGAGTGAGCTGAGCCCGCACTTTGACTTCCTGATAGAGTCGTGTCAGGTTGGGATGATGAAGCCCGAGCTGCAGATGTACAAGTTCCTGCTGGAGACCGTGAAGGCCAGTCCCGGTGAGGTGCGTGGATGCCTCCTCAGAGCGGGAAACACGGCCCGCCGCATGGCGACCAGAGAGACATCGACATTCTCGTCTGGGATACATTTAGGGCCTGGCAGGAAGTTCTAGGTTTGTTCCTCCAGGCTAGGACTTCTAAAGGCTTTTTACCCAACCTTCCATCTAGAAAGTTCTCCCACAGGTGGGCATGAGTCCCCTTTGTGTATCTCTTAGAAGACTCTGGGCAAAATGGAAATCACAAAAGGTGTTAGACAAACTATCTCTGTTTACCTATGAAGAAGGAGACTTTGCCAAGGCCACAAGGCTCAAGAAGGTCACCCCACCAAAGTGGGGAGGGAGCAGAATGTCTCCTGAGAGTCTGTCCATGTCCTCTGAGATCTCTACACTAGAACGCTTGCTTCCTCAGACACTACTACGCTAACCTTCGAAAGGTGATAGAACCAAAATGAATCCCTCTTCTTCACTCTGTCCATCTCTTTCACTGGCCCCGCCTACAAGCTGAGCAGAGCAAACCCTGCCCTGTTCCCCCGGGGAGTCGCTCTGTGCTCAGTGTCAGGAGCGTTCCCTTCATGCCATTGGAGATGGCTGCTGTCCTCAGCACCTGGAGTCCGGTGGGAACAGTGCTCCAAGCCCTGGGCTCCTGGGTTGGGTGGGCTATTGAAGATTGTGAGCTGCCCTCTTCCAAGATTATAAACAACCTCACCCGTATCTGCTCTGTGACTTTCAAGGTCTCTTTCTTATTTCCTTTTCTTAAAAAATTGTTAGTAACCAGAATTTATTTCAGAATAAGACATGAGGTCAGAGAGTAAGTGGGTCTGGAGAGGATTCTGTCTCATTATGAAGCAGTCTCTGTGTGAGTTTCCATGTGTTTCGTTCTCCTGGCTGACAGCCCTCCTGTCTGGGGTCCAGGTTGTTTATCTGGATGACTTTGGGAGCAATCTGAAGCCGGCCCGTGACTTGGGAATGGCCACCATTCATGTCCAGGACACCGACACAGCCTTGAGAGAGCTGGAGAAAGTCACCGGGCTGCAGGTAACGTTGTGTCTGTGCAGGTCTGCCTTCCTGCCACGCGTGTGAGATCATATAGAGAAAACAGCAGGTGGGAAGCCGGGGTCTAGGTTGTCAGTGCTTTGTGTGTGATTCACATGCACCTGTGCTGGCAGCTCATTGCCCGTGGTGCACTGAGCGCGTGGACCCTGGAGGGCCTCCCATTTCCCCTCCAGTCCTTAGCGGGAAGCGCAATCTGACAGCAGGGGTGTGAGCTAAATTTTGTTCCAGTCAGGGAACCAAGACAAGAGAAGGCTGTTCAAAGACTCCCTGCCTTGCTCTTCCGACAATATGAACAAAAAACTCATTTTCTTTTTCCTTTCTCCTGTTGAAAGCCAGGGTCTTGCCATGCAGCCTCAACTCACCATCCTCCTGCCTCAGCCTCCTGAGTGCTGAGATTATAGGCATGTACCACCGTGTCTGTTACAGACAAAAATGTTTCACTTAAGTAAGGAGGATGGTATAGGCTGTGATCTTTTGGCGGCTGTGGTTAGCTGACACCTTAGCTCGGAGGCTCTGGGGTTCCTGTGGACTGTAGAGCATCGTGTGAGGGTTTCCATGTGCCAGGGTGGGAGGCATGCTTCCTGTCACATCCCATGGGCCAGAGCCAAGTCATGGCGCTCCACTGACCTGGAGGAAGAGTGGGAGCAGGGAGGGATGCAGGGCGGGCAGGACCGGAAGGACTCTGGAAGGGAGGCTGGGCTGGCCAGCTCCCCTTGGGGAACGCTTGCAGGAAGACGCTGTCCCGCGTCTCACCTCACCATTGGTGTTTGCAGCTTCTCAGTCCCGCAGCCCCCCTGCCGGTCCCCTGCAGTCCTAATGACGTGGGCCACGGGTACGTGACCGTGAAGGTAAGTCTGCCGAGCGCTGTCTGCTGGTGCACACAGAGGGACTTGCGCGGGGGCACAGGAAGTCCACTATTTGCGAAAACAGGAAAGAGTATCTCCCCCAAGTCTCAGTAGTCAAACACTGATGGACACGGCCCCTGTATCACATTGTATACAGCAGTGGGGCCAATGTGGCCGCAGGGACCCCCCGGCCTCTGAGCCCTGGTCTGCCAGGGCACTGCAGCCTGGGCAGAGCTGGCTTTGTGCTCTGGCAGAGCAGTTTTTCCTGAGCTTTTCCTTGTGTCGGGCCTGGCCTGGGTGGGAGGGGCGCAGGCATGAGCGAGGAACTCACAGTGAGGATGACGGGAGGGAAAAACTCTTAAGTGCCCAGTGGTCGAGGCCAGGGCTAGGTCGAGCGCATGTGAGGCAAGGCCCTAACTCTGGGCCCAGCAGCTTCTGACGGGAAGTCTCTAGGGGTTCACTGTGGGATATTTCTTGCCTTGTCTTTGCTCCATTCAAATGGGCCAAAAGCTATGGATCAGCTCGCGAGCAGAGCAAGATGAGACAGTGCTTAGGAAGCAGGCAGATTCCAGGCCGAGCCAGGGCCCTGCCGTTGGCTAAGATCAACCTCGCTAAGATCAATCAAGCTTCTCCTCACTCAGCTGCGGTGCCCACCGCTCTGAAGCGAGCTGGTCACTGTCTTTCTCCTGAGCTCCTGCTACAGAGTAAATGAAATGCCAAGTACAGATGCCGGGCCCAGGCCTTGGCACTGTCATGTTCCATGATGGAGAGAGCTAGCAGCCCCAGCTGCGCTGCCCAGATGCCCGGCTGCTCAGAAGCTCAGCTGAGCTCATTCGAAGCCTCGAGAGGAACGCTTAGCTGTGGGTGGCTCAAGGGGCAGAGCACTCGCCCAGCAGGTGCAGGGCCTTATGTTCAACAGTTGCAACAGGGAGAGAGAGGGAAGGGAGAGGGAAGGAAGGAGGGAGACACACAGATATATAGAGAGAACTTGTTAGTTGTGCAATGTCGTTTCCCCCCTCTCCCCCCCCGACCCCCAGCCTGGGGCTCCTGATGCTGATGTCACTGTCCCCCCTCCCCTCTTTATCTCTCTTCTCCCTCCCCCGTCTCTCTCGCAGCCTGGGGTTCGCCTTCATTTTGCCGAGCTGGGCTCTGGCCCCGTTGTGTGCCTCTGCCATGGATTTCCTGAGAGCTGGTTCTCTTGGAGGTACCAGGTAAGGAAAATGGAGGCAGGCAGCCCCCAGACAGGGGGAGGGGAGGGGATCCTCTAGACCTTGTGGCCTGGCCTGGAAGGTGATAAAGCAGCTGGAATCCAAAAGTGGAGCGTTGACTCCGAATTGCCACTGAAGGCCTCAGAAGTGTTAGGTGGGAAGAGGCCCCGCCCACGGCCGCGCCAGGCCCAGGGCCCCGGTGCAGGCTGGACAGAGAACTTCTGGAAGACACTCTTAACCGCTGCTTGGGAAGTCTTCCTAACGAATGTCCGGTGCCATCGGTGCAGTGCATGAACCCCACTGCCATGCGTGGAGGCCGCCCCCAGGCTCCGGCTAGTGCCCTGGTGCAGAGACCTGGGCCTGCCAGGGCGCTCTGGGACGGAGGCATCCAGAGGAAGGGCGGGGCTGGGCATGGAGGCGGCCAGCCCGGACAGCGGCCAGGCTGCACTGCTGCCTGTCCCCACCACTTGTTTTCCAGATCCCAGCCCTGGCCCGCGCGGGTTACCGGGTTCTAGCGATGGACATGAAAGGCTATGGAGACTCATCCTCCCCTCCTGGTGGGTTGGCAGCCCTGCAGCTGTCCCCGGGGCAAGAACTGTCCTTCGAGGTCCAGCCAGCCTCGCCCCCTCTCCTGCTGTGTCCCGTGTCTGTGTGTCAGCCCCACCGGTTCCAGCTGCCCATACCCAGGGGCAGGAAGCTCTCTCCGGCAGAGGGAGCCTGTGCTGCCGCTGGCCAGGGAAGTGGGAGGGAGCAGGTGCACCGTTCATCTTCCAGACCCTTCTCATATGCCTGGACGCAGGAAATAACTCCTCCCCGGGCAGCCCTGGTCCTCCCCTAAACACCTCATAGAAGCACTGTACTACAGTGTGTGGTCCTCCGAGGCTGGCGTGTCTCCTGGCTTCGTGTCTTCTAGGCATGTTGCTAAAAATATCTATTTGTCCAGTGGTAAACGCGTGGACACCTTCACCTTGGGGGTGGCTGGCTCCATGAAGGTGTGGTGTGAGGACTGCAGGCCACACTTCCAGTCCTTAGGATTCGTGCCTCGGGGTAGAGGGCCTATGGTGATGGGTGACCAGATTGTTACGGTTTTTAAGTGCTCTGATCACATTCACCCTCTCCTTTGCCCTCCCATTTCTGACTGATTCTCGCCTTCAAATAACCTCCTATACCCCTAGACTGCTCTATGCTCATCGTGGACCAGATGATTAACCCAGTGTCAATGGGCCCAAGCAAACAGCTGTCCAGGGACAGCATGAGATCACCTTTGTGCTAAGACCCCGTGCGGGTTTATCAGTGTTTTTCTAGTGGATACACTTCTTTGGTTTTGTCAGCTTCAAAGGGATCCTCAGAACAAACTTTGTTGTTTTTCTACCTCAGCCTCCTATGTGCTGGAATTACACATGTATGCTATCATGCCCGACAGCCCAAACTGTTAAGGACCCAGTCCTGGGGTCAGAAATGTGAAGCAGCCAGGTATCACACTGTCTTTGGTCCTCTAAGGGTCAGAAATGCCCCTGGTGGCCTGGCACGGTGAGCCAAGCCAGCTGCCCCTGTGATCACACATCTAGCCGTGACTAAAGCCAGATGACCTCGACTCCAGTTAACCAGCAAAAGCCATAAGTGGAGTGGGGCTCAGGTGGTAGAGCACCAGCTTTAAGTGAAAAACCCAAGTGAGATCATAAGGCTCTTAGTACAGGTAGAAAAGAAAAGGCCCTTTGGGTTTATTGCTATGTTTAAACATCTCATGGATCAAGCATTCATTGTTACTTTTAATTACAGAAATAGAAGAGTACGCCATGGAAGTATTGTGTAAGGTAAGAAGGATCTCTGGTAATGACCATCCCATCCTGTCCAGCCTGGATTTCTCACTGATAGAAGCCAGACGCTTGTGTGTCCACCTAACCCAAAGCATAACACGTGACGCTCGGGTGTAACTTCTGGAAGTTATGGTGATAAGTTCCGGGCGATAACCAACATGCATGGAGCACTTAGTGTGCTTGCCACAGGAAACTGAGTCACAGCCAGGTTAAGGTCACGGTCTGGGCTGAGAGCTAGTCGAGGAGGTCTGAGCCCTGCCCGACCCTGCTGAGGCCTCTCCATCACGGGAGTATTCACACGCGGTTCGCCCCAGCCCCACACGCACTCTGAGGCCTCTTAGCCTCAGAACTCAGGTAAAGCTGGCTTCCAGGCCAGCCGGGCTGTCATCCTACCTCAGTCTCCCAGCTTTGCTCCTTTTTTTTCCTCCTGCCCCTGATCTTATTCATGACTCCCGTGAAATCCTTCCACGTGTCCTTGGGGACCCTGTGTGGAGTCCTCCTTGTGTTCTGCTGCTGTCCAGGCATCCAGATCCCACTTTATTATTATTATTATTATTATTTTGCCAGTCCTAGAGCTTGAACTCAGGACCTAGGCACTGTTCCTGAGCTGCTTTTTGCTCAAGGCTAGCATTCTACCACTTGAGCCACAGCACTACTGGCTTTTTCTGTTTCTGTGGTACTGAGGAATTGAACCCAGGGCTTCATGCATGCTAGTCAAGCATTCTGCCACCAAGCTACATTCCCAGCCTGGACCTCACTTATTGCCGTCAGAATTCATTCTTGAGGTGGGTATATTGGGTTACTTCAAAGGCCCATGCTCTACAGAAGAAACCAGACATGTTCCTATCCACCCAGGCCACTTTAAAAACAAAACAAAATACTACCAGTCCATCCACTACAAGAAATGTGCCCAAGAGAACTGCATGCCCATACACAAAACTCCCCAGACACCCGTGTTCACACCAGGACTAGTCAAGACCGCCGTACACAGAAATAGCCCAGATAGCCACCAACTGACTAATGCATAGACACGTTTTAATCTGTGCACTGGAACAGTACACAGCCCTAAAGAGGTGCAGTACTGTCGAACGCTTCCCCATGAGTGATACTTGAAGATAGGACACTAAGTAGAAGGCGCCAATTATAAAAGCAACATTATTTCATCTCATCTCCATGAAGTATTGAGAAGTGACTAATCCACCTACCAGAATGAGATTAGTGGTTGCCAGGAGACAGGGAAAGTGATATATAGTTATTAATTACTGTGTTCTTGAAGCACAGTCCCCTGATCATTTATTCTCCTAGCTGTAATTGTGTGTCCCTTGACCAATGCCTCCCTCACCCCCTTGACCTCTATCTGGTACCTTCAAGCACACGTTCTTGCAAATGATGGTATTTCATCCTTCTGTCTGACTAGTATTCTCTGTATATCTATACCCCATTTTCTTTTCTGTCTATTTAATGTGGACACTTCAGTTGACTTCATCGCTTGGCTCTCTTAAACCTGGGTGTTCAGAGGTCTGTGTGTGTGTGTGTGTGTGTGTGTGTGTGTGTGTGTGTGTGTGTGTGTTTGATTTATGGATAACTTTATGGAACCCACAGACCTGAACATACATAGACTTAGACCAAACTGGGAATGGTGGACTGTAGCACAGAACCACTATCTTCTAGAATGCTTTGTACCCAGTGCTTCTGCCACTGTATGACCTTGGGTGAAGGTCATGCTGTCTTGCAGAATGCAGTAAAGGTCAGGGCTGCATGCTCTCCCAGGCTCCTTTACACTCCTTCAGATCTGAGCATGGGCCTCCATTTGTGAGCTCAGCCAGCTATCCCCAGCCTCTCTGGTACATTGGAGAGTGTAAAGGATGGGTGTACCTGTGGTGTTCAGATATGGAATTCGAGGCATGGGTGCCCATGTGTGTTTTCCTGGGGAGAGGACCCTGGGAATTTATCAGTGACTCCAAGAGGTCTCGGGTCTGGGGACACTGTGATTGGAGGAGGGGGTGGGGCTAACACAGCATATTCTGTCCACCCCTTCTCTCCATCTCTGTATCTCTCCTTTCCAGTACTGGGGATTGATCTCAGGTCCCCGTTTGCTACACAGGTGCTCTATCACTTGGGCCACACAAGCGGCCTTTTTCCTTACTGTTTGTTTTATTAGCTAGGTTCTCAAGCTACCTTCGTCTGCACTGGCCTTGGACTGTGATTCTCCTTTTCTCTTCTTTTTTTTTTTTTCTTTTTGCTTATGTGGTGCTGAGGAATAGAACCCAGGGCCTCATGCATGCAAAGCAAGCGCTTTACCACTGAGCCACCTTCCCAGCCCTCCTTTTCTCTTCTTCACTGAGATTTGTTTCTTCTGCTTATTGCTGTACCCCCATGTTTAGAGTGACTGCAGCATAGCAGACACATGTTGTGTGTGTGTGTGTTCTTACCAGGATTTGAACTAAGGAGCTCATGGTTTTGCTTGACATCCTTGCTCATGGCTGGTGCTCTACCATTTGAGCCACATCTCAGCATAGCTTTTTTCCTGGTTACTTGGAGGTGGAGTCTCACAAACTTTTCTCAGGGCTAGCCTTGAACCGTAATCTCTCAGGTTTCAGCCTCCTGAGTAGCTAGGACCATAGATGTGAGCCTCTGGCACCCAGCTCTAAATACGATTTTATTGTATCCACCCAGTTCCCCTTTCTGAATTGGTGTCTGTGTTTTCTTTTCTAGGAGATGGTATCCTTCCTGGATAAGTTGGTAAGTCACTGTTTATAGTCAATCTCTTTGGAGAATTCCATGTATTCGGTGGGGTGTACTGTGGACAGTGCAGGGCAAAGGGGGAAGGAGTTTCCCAGTCAGCCATGTCTGAGGAGAAGGGCAGCAAGAGCCAGAGGCAGGGTTGGAGCTTGTTAACAGTTCATGGGAGCCAGCACAGTGCCAGGCCTGGGAGGAGCGGCAGGGTGGGTCTGCCCTCCGCGTAGTCGCCACTCCGTGGAGCCGGGCTTGGAGGTGGTATGCAAGAAGGGGACGGGACACTGGGCACGGCTTTGGCCACCCAGGCTGGATTCCTTAGCAAACAACCTGAGACTGCCTCAGACTGGGGACGGAGGGACTGGAGGTTGCAGGTCACCAGGCCCTTCCCTGGAAGACACTGTCTGGTGCAGCTGCAGCATCTGCCCCCTGGGGTGGTTGGTAGTTGAAGTGGTCAGAGGGGAGGACCCAAGGAAGAAGTCTGGCTGCAGGGAGGTTCTGGGGTGCTGACAGGCACAGACCACCGTCAGCTCTGTGTGTGGACGCACAGGTGTGGAGCCTCACAGGTGCCTGGGCCGGGGCTCCCCTACCCCTCGTGAAGAGTAGGGGGATGGTGAGGGTCCAGAAGACCCTCAGGTGGCAGGCTGGAATAGAGGACAGCACAGAATTACTTTTATTGGGAGACATGGGTCCGAACTGTGGTTCTCCCACCAGCCATCCATGTGGCCTTAGGCAGCTCACCTCCCTGCCAGAGCCTGTCCTCCCATTTATAAAGCGGAGACTGAAGATGCATGGAAGGTTGTAGGTGGGATGGAGACCCTTCCCCCAGCTCCTAGGAGGAGCTCAGTCAAGGGGAGCTGCTGTTATCTTCAGCAGAGGCTTCAGGAAGGAGAATAAGGAAGCTTTTGGACTTTCTCATGGCTACCTACGAGAGTCCCCAGGGGGCCCGCCATAATCACTGGGTGAATGCTGATCATGGGGTGCAGGAAGGAACTTCCACTCCTCTTCAGAGAAGGAGAAAGTTCCGTTTGCGGGAAGGTGGAGGGGTGGAGCTCATGCCCCGTGGCCTTGGTCATTCGTGAGGAGCGTGTGAGGCTGCAGACGTGTGGGGTTGAGGCTAGATGAGGGTGGACGTCCTGGATGCCATTCTGGGAGTCAGTGGGGAGTCCCTGGCTTGCCAGGGAGGGTCTTGCCAGCGCATTCACCATTCCTGACCCCACCCTACCCACTCCCTGTTCCCTCCTCATCCAGGGCATCCCACAAGCCGTGTTCATTGGGCATGACTGGGCTGGCGTGCTGGTGTGGAAAATGGCTCTGTTCTACCCCGAGAGAGTGAGGTGGGTGGCCACAGCCAGAAGAACTTGGTAACCTCCCACAGAAGTGTGCCCCCATCTCTTACTTACCCCAGAAGACATATCAAAGACAGGAAGGGAGTGTGGGAAGTTGAGCCCTCCACTGCCCCACTAACTTGGAAGGCCTACAGAGCTCATCTCTCAGGAAGCAACTCCCGGCCTAGTCGCTAGCATTGAGACAAAATGATCAGGACCCCAGTGAAAAAACCATTCCACAAGGGGAAAGCAAAGCCTCCCCAGAGACCTCAGGCCAGGCCACCTCCGCTTCTCAGCTCCCTTCTCGTTCTTTCCCTGGCTGTGGTGTTGTCACAGAGGCCACCTGGCCATGGTGGGGTGGGAAGATGCTAAATGGGGGAAAAGAAAAGCGAACCCCCTGGGCTAGGAATAAAAACATCCTGAGTTCCCATCCTCCTTTCCCATGCACTGCCCGCTGACACCCATCACAGACCACTTCCCACTCGGCGTCCATTTTGACGTGTGTCCTCATAGGCCGACTTCTCACGGGCCCTGTCGCCACGCCTCTTACTTCTGCAGGGCAGTGGCCAGTGTGAACACTCCCTACAAGCCAGAAAATCCCAGCATACACCCCATGGAGGTCATAAAAAACATCCCAGTTTTTAACTACCAGCTCTACTTCCAAGAACCCGTAAGTGTGGGGTGCCAAGGGCCGTGGCTTCCACATAACTGTCCTTTCCTCTTCCTTTCTCTTCCTGTTGGCTTACCTCCATCCCCGTTAATTGTCCATGGCATTGGTCACAAACGATTTCTCAGATCGACTTGATGCATGGGCTGCAGAGATCAGTGGGTCGTGTGTGTGTGTGTGTGTGTGTGTGTGTGTGTGTGTTGCTTCTGCTGCTGTGGAACTACATGGGTTCAGGGTGGGTGCTGGCTTGGCACTGCCTCCCTTGGCCTCTCCCCAGAGACCTGGAATCTCTGCTCACTGAGAACTGAGCTTTGTGTGTTGGCACCCAAGGCCACAAAGTCCCACAGCCGGTCCCACATGTTCTGTAAGAGTATGGCAATGGGCTGGAATGCGGCTTAGTGGCAGTGTGCTTGGCTAGCATGTATGAAGCCCTGGGTTTGATTCCTCAATACCACATAAACAGAAAAAGGTGGAAGTGGCACTGTGGCTCAAGTGGTAAAGTGCTAGCCTTGAGCACAGAGAGGCTCAGGGACAGATTCCAGGCCCTAAGTTCAAGCCCCATGACTGGCAAAAAAAAAAAAAAAAAAAGTATGGAAGTTTGCCAAGTACACTCAGATACCACCAACACAGTCCTGAACCACGGGTGGCACACGTGGTAGGTGGGGTGTCACTGCTACTATTAAGGACACAGATAGCAGTTCATGAGTGACTTGTCCAGGAGTAAAGACCCTTCCTCCATGCAGACCCCCACAAAGCAGCCACACATTCACCCAGGCACCGGCGTAGCCAGGCTGTGATGTATTTGTGGAATGAGTACTCTGCTCACAGAGAAACCTTTCAACTGACTCTCCTAGCTGTACCCTTCAACCACTGTCCCAAACACAGCCTTCTCCAGGCTTTGCCACCTCCTCCCGCCATCACTGAATAACTGCTGCTGTGGACGTGTGATCTGCCCCTGAGCCACCTAACTGCCTGGATGCCGTGGTGGCAGCCTCTGTGACTTATCCTGGGTGGAGAAGAGGCTGGAGTTGTGTTGTCAGGGAAGAGGCCCCCAAAGCTTGAGCTCCACGGTCGTGCTCACTCTGGGAGGCCACCTCGCTCTTCCTGAGCACTCTGGACCCCTGCCAGGAGCAGGGCAGGGAAGGCCACAGGGATCACCCGTGGTACGGAATCTGGGCTTGGAAGGGTTTTTGAGTATGAGACGCGGTACCATGGAGAATCAATGGAGCCTTCTGCCGTGTGATGGATGCCAGGGCTCCGGAGGCGGAGCCGCGGTGATGGATGTGCGTCTGCTCCGGGCGGGTCGTCCGCGCTGGTGCTGCTTCTTATTTATGACCCCCGTCCCCACTGCAGAACTGGCCGCTGCTTATGAGCTCGGCCCTGCAGAGGCCCGGACAGGGGCTTGCTCTCAAATGGGCCCCAGAAGAGCAAAGGACACTGAGACGCAGTAAAAACGTAGCGAGCACAAAGAGAAATAATCTGTCCACCCACAGAAAGTCCATCAGCCCAGCAGGGAGAACGGGATGGGGGTTGGGGAGGCGGGGGAGGGGAGACAGGCCTGTGCTCAAAGCCCAGGGCTGCAACAAACAGGCCAAAGAAATACCCGGTAAGATGTTCCTGATAGCTAAATATATTTGCAATCATCAAGCCCTTGTCCACACAACTGGGCCCATCTCAGACATGGATGTTGAAGTTACGTGAACAAGAGCTTTGCTCGCGCTGCATTTGACCTTCAACATTGTCCTCCTCACTTAGCTCCCCGCAGCCCCACGTCAGCCTACAGCAGCCCCCCTTAACAGTCTCGTAGCAGGACTTTAGGGAAAAATCGACCTCATAGGATTCTCACGACACCGGGGCAGTGGATGGGGCGGAGGGGCAGGGCCCCCCGGGGCAGGGCAGGGGGCCCTGCGGCTGTAGTCAGCGCTTTGGGGAGGGGCTCAGCTCCCCACGGCCCTCCATGATGCTCTCTTGCCTGTTTCAGGGAGTGGCGGAGGCAGAATTGGAACAAAACTTGAGTCGAACTTTCAAAAGCTTCTTCCGAGCAAGTGATGAGGTAGGCCGTGCGGGACGGGGTGTGGAGGAGGGCGAGGGGGGCTGCTCTGCCGGAAAAGGAGGCCCTGGATGGAGCAGGAGCCAGGAACCTTCCGTGGGGCCTCCTCGTCTGGCAGCTGTGGTCAGTAGATTCTGTTGTGACTGGAGAAGAGTCGCGTTCCCTGTCACCGCAGGCTGAGATGTGAGCGGTGATTTCAGCGGCCTAGTCGTGTGGAAATTAGCCTATTAGCACGATTACCGCTGTAATGTGCATAATTGATTCACCCCAGCGCAGAAGTAATTGCTCTCTCTAACCCTGCTCTAGCATGCTGAAGGAGCTTATAATACCTCCACTTCATAAGCCCTCACCCCTGACCTGTGTCAGCCCTCTCCTCACTCGTGTGTTTGCTGTCTCTCTAAGGACTCTGTGTGTCTGTGTGTGTGTTCCATCTTGGTTTGTGAATTCATCTTCAGCAACACTTAATCTTTACCTCCGTTTGGACTGAGAAAATCACCCTCTCACGTGCTTAGCGTTTCCTCTGCCTGGCACCTGTGGCGTGGCCTCCAGGATTCAGGGTTGTTTGCTTCCGACCTTGGGGGTCCCCCAGTCCTGGGCACTGTGCAGATTCAGATGACGCCTAGGGAAGATCTTTTTGGTCTCATCTCGTTAACTAGCTGAAATGGATGTATTTTCAAAAACATCTTCCTTTGTATTTCTCTGTCATTATGGATAGATTTTTCTTTATACCTTTTTTTTTTTTTTTTTTTTTTGCCAGTCCCGGGGCTTGAACTTGGGGCCTGGGCACTGTCCTTGAGCTGCTTTTTGCTCAAGACTAGTGTTCTACCTCTTGAACCACCACTCAACTTGCAGCTTTTTTGGTAATTTATTGGAGATGAGGATCTCACAGACTTTCCTGCCTGGGCTGACTTCAAACCACAATCCTCAGATCTCAGCCTCCTGAGTAGCTAGGTGTGAGTCATCAGCATCTGGCTTTTATTCCAACTTTTAACTGTGGTGGGAAGTATTATTTATAATCTCTACCCCCTGGTCCGCCTGAGGTCATATCTCTTGTTCTCTTTTTGATGAGCCCCAGACTATCTCCTCTCCAAGATCTGCCAGGGCCTGAGCTTTGGCTATGGGCTCCATGTTTAACTCTGCAGGGTTAAACCTCCCACCTTGCTGTGTCTCGGTGCTGAATTAAACTGCATTAGGCAAGTATGGGACCAAGTAGCGAGCCTGGAGGGTTCAATGCCATCCACGGTTTCTCCTGAGGTCTCAGGACTTACCCACAGAGAAGCGGAGCACCCGAGGGCTCTCAGAGAGCCCCTTTTGTGTTCTGGCTTGGACTCACCCATGACTTCCTTTCGACCTCCTCTTCCAACAGGGCTTTCTGTCGGTGCACAAAGTCACTGAAATGGGTAAGAGCCTTCTAGAGCATGCTGGTATATGAATGCCTCTTCCTCTAACTGAAAATGGTGGGCTGGCTCCATTCAGGCACAGGGTTAGTGGCCCAGGTGGCTCCCTTGGAAGCTACGTTGTCCCTGAGTGGGCAGCGGTCACCCCCTGGGAGGGTGGACCGCTATTGGCAGGACACAGCACACCTCTGAAGATGACACGGGGTCCCACCTCCATGGAGACGGGAAGGTCTGTGGGCATGCAGAGCCCGCAGCCTCTGGTCCTCTGACCTGGATGCTCTTCTTGACCAAGAGGAAGCACCAAGCCAGTAAGCACCTACAAGAATTCTGAGAGCTGGGCAAAATGTGTTCAGCTGTTTGAAGAAGGTTAGCGTGAGGGAGCCTGGCAGGTGGCGGCCACAGGGCCTGGCTGAAATCGAGTCGCCCTGAGCGGTAGGCACGTGTTGGGAGCAGACTGTGCCCACCGTGGCGTGGCCAGAGCGGCGACTGCATGTGGTGCGTGGGCCGCTGCCGTGGGCATGTGGGGTGGGATGTGGGAGCACGCTGCCGCCCAGTCTCAGCTACTGAGGACGCTAGCTTGGAACCTGGGCCTGTGGACAGGAGGAAACAAGTGGCTTTTTGCAGGAGGCCTCTTTGTGAAGACTCCAGAAGACCCCAGCCTCAGCAAGATAGTCACAGAGGAAGAAATCCAGTTCTACATCCAACAGTTTAAGAAGACTGGATTCAGGTATGGAGGGGACAGGGCTCGAGGCCTGGCAGGGAAGGATTTCTAGTTTCCTTCACCTCAGGTCCCCAGAATGCCAGGCCAGCCTTGGCTTGAATGCTTCCAGTGTCGGATGACTCCCTACCTGTGGTGTGCAGCCCGGGTTTGAGGTAGTCCAGCTCGCTGCATTTTATAATCCGTCCACAAAGGACAGAAGTTGTAAATTGCTCTCGAGTCACCACTGCTCTGTGAATCAGATGGTAGCTCTGAGTTCTGTCTTCAGAGTGATACAAAACTCCAGGTAAATCGAGGCCTACATACATTTGGACACCTTTGCACCACCTCCCAGTGTCCCTTTCCAGAGAGTGGCCTCATTGGTGAGGGGCTAATCTTGGGTCTTTCACCCTCCAACACATCAGTAGAGGCCAAGAATGACCCTGTGGCCCTGGCCTCGATGTGTCCTGAGCCTCTCTGATGACTTCAGGCACTGTGGTGGGTCCTCCACCCCTGTACCTGGCCTACTCAGTGTAGTTTGGTGGGTGTGGACTGAAGGCATGAGTTTTGGCCCTGGTCTGCCCCCTCAAAGCACTAAGCACCCTCCCAGGGATGATGGAGCACCCTCTCAGGGATGATGGAGCACCCTCTCAGGGATGATTGAGTACCTTCCCAGGGATGAGCGCCTTCCCAGGGATAATTGAGCACCCTCCCAGGGATGAAGGTGCACCCTCCCAGGGATGATGGAGTACCTTCCCAGGGATGATGGAGTGCCCTCCCAGGGATGATGGAGCACCCTCCCAGGGATGATTGAGTACCTTCCCAGGGATGAGCACCTTCCCAGGGATGATGGAGCGCTCTCCCAGGGATGATGGGGCGCCCTCTCAGGGATGATGGGGCACCCTCTGGGGCACCCTCTCAGGGATGATGGAGTACCTTCCCAGGGATGATGGAGTACCTTCCCAGGGATGATGGTGCGCCCTCCCAGGGATGGTGGAGCTCTTCTGCAGGGACAGAATAGTCAGCCCCTCGAAGCTCATCTGTGCTATTCTCTCATCCACTTTCAGAGGTCCCCTAAACTGGTACCGGAACATGGAACGAAACTGGAAGTGGGGTTGCAGAGGTGCTGGACGGAAGGTGAATGCTGGGTTCCTCTAAGATGCCTTTCATCTCCCTTTGACCCCACCTGGCATGACCTCAGGCCTTGGCTGGGCTGCGCAGTCCTGCCTACTTTGTCATTTCCATTGGGGTTGGGACAGACTTCCCGTGGGAGCTTCTTCAGCACCTCCTCCTGGGATGATGGTACGAGGCACCGGGGACAGTGCAGCATCATTTGGGAAGCCCAGAATTCTTGGCAGTGGTCTGGCAAGGACAGCAGATGTGTCAGGGTAACTCTGGGGTAGCATGGAGCCACGTATAGAGGCTGTCGAGCACTCTCAGATACACAAGGCCTTCGCTTGTGCCTGTGGGTCTCACCTTCCTCTGCTGAGCAGGTGGTGGGTGTCCAGACCTCTGGGTCTGTACAGGGAAGCATTTCACATTGCAAGAGGCAAAGTGTGTTCTCTCCCACAAAGGTAGTACAGTAGCCAAGGCTCCCTGGGCTCCAGTGCCCGCATCAACTCGGTTTGGTCCAGGCGAATGATCGTGCGTGCTGTGTGCTGACAGCACACTAGGCCGTGGGGATGAGCAGCCCACAGAGGAGAGCAGATCCTTTCTAACAAAGGTCCTGAGGTAGCATGTAACAGTCTTTAAAAGCAGGTTAGGAAGCAAGCTGGCCTGGGCCTAATCTACAGAAGAGCTGTGATGCTACTCAGTGGTAGAGCACTTGCCTAGCTGACAAAAGTCCCAAATCCCTAACGCCCTGGAATTAGTCCCCAGGATTGGAGAGAGGGAAGGAGTTAAGAGCCCGTGGAGGCTCTAGGAAATAGAAATAAAGCCCATTTCTGCTTCTACTGGTAACACAAAAATACCTGTCCTGGCCGCTCCATGCACATGTGCACGCACGCGCACGCACTCGCACGCACACACACGCACACCCATCACTACAGTACAAATCCAGCACGAACGATGCCGCTGGCTCCTTCCTACTATGCTTGACAGAGGCCACACCTGGGCCACGGCGACAGGCATAGCGAGGGTCTTTCCAGCGGGGGACGCCTCCAGGCACGCCCGCACGCTGCTCTCCCTGCCCGGACGAAGAGAGGGATCTGTGGTGGTGGTGTGCTGCCTTCCCCTTTACCTGCTCTCTTCTCCAGATCCTGGTCCCAGCCCTGATGGTCACCGCGGAGAAGGACTTTGTTCTCACTCCTCAGATGTCCAAGAACATGGAGGACTGGGTGAGGACACGAGCATCCCCCGTGGGTCCACCGAGGCAGCGCGGGGACCCAGAGGGGAGATGATGGCAGCGGAGGCCACAGTGTCCAGACAGATGGGAGAGTCGGCTAGAGGCTGCCCATGTTCACAGCTGACGCACCATCCCTTTCCTCCTAGTGACGTGGGGTGCTCTAGGGTAGCTTGGGGCGGCAGGAGACCCCTCCCATGTGCTTTCTGGGGTGTGTCACGCTGATGTGAAAGCAAACCCAGGTGTGTTCTTCCATTGTCCTTCAGATCCCCCACCTGAAAAGGGGAAACATTAAGGACTGTGGGCACTGGACACAGATGGAGAAGTAAGGAGCTGGGGGTGGGGGGCAGGATCTCCTGCTCACTTTCACACGCTTCATTCTCCCTGATTTGGGTCTGGCTTGGTCACTTGCTTTGTGTGCTCGGTGAGCTCAGTGAGCTCTGACTGGGTGAATGGACCTTGGTTTTCCCTCCAGGCCTGCGGAGTTGAACCAGATCCTCATTGAGTGGCTGGATGCTGAAGTCAAGCACCTGCCGGTGGTCTCCAAGATGTAGCCGGTGGCTCATTCCCTGCAGTGCTTACATTCTGCATGGGGCTGAAGGAGGGCTCTTGTCCGGATGTGGCCTTCACTTCACCTCTTGTAACCTGCAGCATTGCTCTCAAGGGGTTGGACAAAATGGTTCTCTTGAAGTCCTTCAAAGACGCTGTAATTTTAGATCCAGGAGGAATCGTGTGTGATTAGTACTTTGGGTATAATTGCATCTTCCATTGAGCTCTCACAACCATTAGTGCCCTGACAGGACAGAGCGGGGACAGCCCAGGGTGATTTGTCTTTGAGCAGTGTTTTGCAAGAAAATTTGCAGTTCATTTTGAAGCACCTGAGCAGAGATTAGGAGCCTTTGTTCAGTAAAGCTTAGACTAGGGAGCTCCTGCCCTTTGTCCGTGGAGCATCACGGTGGTAGTTCTGAGAAGCTGGCACAGCTCTATGCATGCCCTGTCTGCCCTCGCGCTGCGTTGCGGGCTTCTGCCAGGATGTGGTGGTCTGTGGCAGCCATCAAGGTCGCCCGGGCCCCTCCTCCCTGCTTCCCCTCGGGCTTTGCTCCTGTCCTGATGCATAATTTGTGCACTTGAAGTGTGTGGTGGGACTGAGACTCTAAGTGGATGTTCAGATGCCCTGTGTGGCGAGCGTGCACCGCCTCTGGGGTTCGGTGTAGTCTCGCTCTGCCTTCTCTTTTAATGGGTCTTATTTGGGCAACTGGGTCTTGAAGCAAGCTAAATTAGGGACACTTAGGGACGGCAACGCAGAGCCGGGAGCTAAGAATAAACTGTATTCGTGGGTGACTTGAAGTCTCGCACTCCTCATTTGGCTAGAACAGCAGTTCTTAACCTTGCAGCACTGAATTGCCCGGAGTTGTAGATAAGCACACCCTGGGTGGCTATCCCAAGAGAAATTCATACTTGGATTAAAAGGAGACCTTTTCATAAATAAAGAGCCCCTAACTATGGATGTTTCTGCCCTGAATAAATAACTTTCTGAAAGCAGATCATCAGTTCATAAGGCCTGGTATCTGTGAATTGATCAGTGATCAGAACATGGGCTATAATTAAAGGAAGATTCCTCTAGCCAATGCCTAACAGTGCAATGGTCACGATGCAGAAATGTGCATGGGAGAGACCACTACACCCCTGGATGGATTTGAGCTGCATGTACACCCTTCATGAAGGACTCAGCACTCTCCAGTGCCCACACTGCCAACTTAGTGGAATGGGGGGGGGGGGAGGGTGTGCGTGTGCGCACACACACACACACGCTTTGCTTTTCGCTTAGCTAGAGTCCTTTATTGCTAAAAGGTTGTACAGAGACGTTACAATCCCCTAAGTCAGGTTGAGCACACTGCTTCTTGGATTTCACAAACTCAGCCGGCGTGGTTGCCACAAGTACAGCACATAGCTCACAAACTCGCTATGCCTTCTGGGAACCTCCTGGATCTGAACTGGTCCCGGTGCTGGTGAGTCTGGTTCTGACTCCTGCAGTCCTCCTTCCTCTGCCCTGCTTTGGGCACCAGGGTTCTGTAGTTGCTTCTAACTGTACCCCGCACACACAGGGCTGGGTCGGGAGCATTGCAGGTCAGATCCTCCCAACTGCCTCCCAGATACAGCGCAGGCATGCTGGGATCCGCTGGGATCTGCTCAGATCCTGGCTCCACCACTGCATGATTCCTACTTGTCCTGCAGCATGGCCATCCTTGTGCCCTGCAAATACCCCATGGGCCCTCCCTGGCCCTTCAGGGCTCTGCTTCCTTCCATCCAGAGTCTCTCGGCTGCCACCACCCCTGTTCCTCCAGCACAGGGCGTTCACAGATGTACGCCCAGCCCTCTGGCTGCCTGTGGAGGAAGTGTCTCCCCGAGGATGTGCTCAGTCAACGTGAGCATTCACTGGCCAGGGAACAAGAGCATGCGTGTTCCTGTGTGTGAAGAAGGCTAAGACAGAAATGCTAACCAGATCTGACATGTGCCACCTCCGATCCTTCCGGGAACCAGATAACATGCCCCAGGTCATTTGCCAGTACAATCCAAGGCTCTGATTCCAAAGGCTGAGCTCTTTCCATCAAAAGTCTCCGCTTTAAATATGGAGGTGGACAAGCGGAGTTGGACATCTCATCTGCTGCTTACTTGCTACATGACTTTGAGAAAGGGCGCCTGTGCTTCATTCAGTGCCTTCGCCTATACCATTAACAGGAGCTAATGCTCAGGGGTTATTGGTGTTAAATATGTTAATATATGCAGAGTTTTAGAGGCGTGCCAAGAGAAGGAAGGGTTGCAGAAGGACTAGATGAGGTATTTCTAGCTTGTCCTGGGACAAACCCAGAAGGGCTTTAAATTTCGAGCCATGCCGCTGTCGTCACCACCTCTGTCTGTTAAAAGTCTCGTTTGAAAGGCAAATACAGGACCTAAGGGAACAGCTACATGCCCCAGCTAGCATTGTTTTGCTAGCTGAATATGTCTAAGTTCTTTTGTAAGAGAAGAATCTTCAAACATTCTGCATTAGGAGCATAAATAGGGAAATCTATTTTCTGTTGGCTCAAGTTCAAATATTCTGACGATTCCTTCAAGCCATCAAAAATGCCTCCTAAAACCTTCTCTTCCGGCAACCGAGAACCCAGTGGATCAATTCTGTATCATTGTAACAAAAATAACCAGCTACACACCACTGAAGGTCCTGTGAGGTGCCGGGGTAGAAAAGATCTTTAGATTGTATAAGAAAATACTAAAATTGGAGACATAGGTGGAGGGCCCACCCCAGGAGTTCCACATTCCAACTGGCCCTTCAGCCCATCGTGCCAAATAAACAGCTGACAATAGGCAGAGAAAGGCTTACTGCCTGGCCAAGACTGTCTGGGAAGGGACAAAGTAACCATGTCAGCCCATCTTTGGGGTACAGACATACACGTTAAGTAATTTTAGTTAGGGTATATTTGTGCTCACTAAACAGTCCTAGTCAAAGTGTGGTCTGTTTGGTCATGACCTCAGACCTGATTTTGAGAGTGGTTCTGGAGAACTAGTAACCTCACTTGGTCAGGACTACCAAGTCACTGTTGCTGGGGGGGAGGGGGGAGGGTCTAACCTCTAAAGGCTCTATTCTTTTTTTCTTTTTTTTCTTTTTTTGCTAGTCCTGGGGCTTGAACTCAGGGCCTGGGCACTGTCCCTGAGCTGCTTTTGCTCAAGGCGAGCACTCTACCACTTGAGCCACAGCACCACTTCTGGCTTTTTCTGTTTCTGTGGTACTGAGGAATCGAACCCAGGGCTTCATACATGCTAGGCAAGCGCTCTACCACTAAGCCACCTTCCCAGCCCTGCTCTTTCTTTACCCGAGGGCAGGTTTACTCCCTTCCACGTACAGTCACTACCACTAGTCCTGTCCTTCCTGGACTCCAAGGTGATGGCAAAGGGACCCAGAGAGCAATGGCAGGTATTCATGTCATGTTCACTTGTTGGTTCACACGATGAAGCTCGTCCATCTACGGTGTCTAATGTTAGATATGGCTAGAGAATGTACTCTGAAGACCGGTGAGCTGCTTTGAACCAATACAATTAGATTCTCATAAAAGAGGGGAAAGGAGTCCATAAAATTAAAACTACTAGCTGGGCTCTGGTGGCTTAAGCCTGTAATTCCGGCTACTCAGGAGGCTGAGATCTAAGGATCTCAGTTTGAAGCCAGCCCAGACAGGAAAGTCCATGAGACTCTTATCTCCAACAAAACTACTAAAAAAGGAAGGAGAGATAATAAAGGAAAGAAAGCCAGAAGTGGTGCTGCTTTCTTTGGTGCTGTGGCTCAAGTGTTAGAACGCTAGCCTTGAGCAACAGAAGCTTGGGGACAGGGCCCAGGCCCTGAGTCCAAACCCCAGGACTGGCACACATGCACAAAATTAAAACTACTTTCCCCCTAAAAGCAATAAAATAAACAACAAAAACACCCAAACCACTGCAGCTAGCCAACAACCACCCTATTTCATCGCAATGGGGAAAATAAATAAGAAGGCCACTGCTTTTAAACATTTGGCAACCATCTAGAGGATACTTCTCACCTCTGCTCACACCTTTCAACAGGAATCAGGACAAGACATAGATTTGCTAATGTGCCAAGGACTGGAGACATGTGGGCTTTTGTTCTGCAGTGTTTCCTTCCACAAGTGAGTCCACTAAATACCAACCAAGAGGAAGCAGGAGGGTGCGCCTTGCTGATCAGATCGACTAGACATGCCTGGTGGCACGTGGCCTGGTCCACCCCCTCGCTTTCCGTGGCTTGGCCTCCTTGGTCTCCCGGCTCTGCAGCCTCATTTGCTCATGGATGGTCGGGATTAGAAGCACTGAAGAAGGCCTGGATCCACAGAGCCGCGCAGGGTCGCAGAACTGGTGGCCACGAGCCTCTCAGAATATCTAGACCTATTCTTCCCAACTTGTCTGCTTTAGTTTGGGTCATGAAACCTACTGTACATGCTGCCGTTGAGTATTGTGCTGAAAGGAAGAGTTAAAAGTCCCTCCCTCAATAACCATAGGAAATACAAGGTTCTATTTGGCTGTCAGAGCCGGGCTGTGCCAGCCGTGCTGGGCTTTCCTGATGCTCTGCTGGGAGCCCAGTCATCTTGTCAAAGCCTGAGTTCCGCCTCTGTTCTCGCCTCAGACTCTGCTCCTTTCATTGAATTTTAATATCGATGGTAAGAAGCATATGAATATCTCCACACATTCAAAAGAACATGTCTGAATCTTGAAAGGTTAAAGTTTGAGGCAGTGACCATGTGTTGCTTGTTTCTGTCTAGCAAAGCAACACGTGGTGGTAATCAAAACACCTGGTTGATTTTGTGCCTTTATAAGACCTGCAAATCCTTAGCTTGGGGCTCTCCTCCTGGGCTCCGCTGTGTCGGAGTGTAGGAGAGGCCCCAGCTGCAGCCCGTTTAAATAAAACAGCTGTAGAGTCTGACTCTCGGTGGTCTTCTTGCGGGGGTCCTGCGACCTTGGTGTAACAATCTGACCCGTGGTATACTCAGTTGTTAAAGGTGAAAACAAGTTCTCAAGGTTTGTCCAATCACTATATCCACAAAGGAAGTCTTACCAAGAATATGTGAAGGGGGGGGGCGGGGGCTCACACCTGTCATCCCATCTACTCAGGAGGCTGAGACCTGAAGATCATGGTTCAAAGCCAGCAGGGGCAGGAAAGGCCTTGAGATTCTTATCTCCAGTTAAGCACCAGAAAACCGGAAGTGGCGCTGTGGCTCCAGTGGTAAGCAACTGCCTTGAGCTGAAGAGCTGAGGGACAGTGCCCAGGCCCAGAGTTCAGGCTTGGCAACCACCACCACCACCAGGCTGGACGTGGGGGTCCCCAGGCTGGACCCCCATCCACAGGCCGGATTCCTCCACCCTTCCACAGCCCAGACTGTCCCCCCCCCCTCCCCCCGCCTGTCCCCAGGCCAGACCCCTGTCCACAGTCCGGACCCCAATCCCCCCAGGCCGGACCCTGTCCCCAGGCTGGACACCCCTGTCCCCAGGCCGGACCCCTGTCCACAGGTTGGACCCCCATCTCCCCAGGCCGGACCCCGTCCCCAGGCTGGAATCCGCCCCCCATCCCTAGGCAGGACACCCCCGTCCCCAGGCCGGAATCCTCCCCCTCCCCAGGCCAAACCCCGTCCCCAGGCCGGAATCCCCCCCCCCCCCCCCCCCCCGCCCCGTCCCCAGGCCGGACCCGTCCCCAGGCTGGACCCGTCCCCAGGCCGGACACCCCCGTCCCCAGGCCGGACCCGTCCCCAGGCTGGACACCCCCGTCCCCAGGCCGGACCGGTCCCCAGGCCCGCACGGCCCGCGGCCCCCGCCCCCCTCGCGCTCCAACGCCCCGGGGCCAACGGCCGCTCAGGTCCGGCGCCCGCGGCATGGCGCGCCTCCTGCTCCTGCTGGACCTCCTGCTCCTGCTGGGCCTGGGCTGGCTGGGCCGGGCCGGCGAGGTGCAGATGGACTGCGGTGAGTGAGGGGCCTGACCTCTGACCCCGGGGCGGGGCCCGCACCCCCAGAGCGCCCCGGTCCCCCGCTGAGCTCGGGCCAGCCCTGGCTGCCAGCAGCTCCTGAGCCGCTCAGGGGGCTGGTTCGTTAGGAGGCCGCAAGGCCAGCAAGCTTGGGGCGTCTGTGAGTCCCATCCCAACCCTGCCATCCCAACCCCCTCAACCCCGCCATCCCAACCCCCTCAACCCCGCCATCCCAACCCCCTCAACCCCGCCATCCCAACCCCACCATCCCAACCCCCTCAACCCCACCATCCCAACCCCCTCAACCCCACCATCCCAACCCCCTCAACCCCACCATCTCAACCCCACCATCCCAACCCCCTCAACCCCGCCATCCCAAACCCCTCAACCCCGCCATCCCAACCCCCTCAACCCCGCCATCCCAACCCCCTCAACCCCGCCATCCCAACCCCCTCAACCCCGCCATCCCAACCCCCTCAACCCCGCCATCCCAACCCCCTCAACCCCGCCATCCCAACCCTGCCATCCCAACCCCATCAACCCCATCATCCCAACCCCATCAACCCCCTCAACCCCACCATCCCAACCCCACCATCCCAACCCCATCATCCCAACCCCATCAAACCCCTCATCCCAACCCCCTCAACCCCACCATCCCAACCCCGCCATCCCAACCCCGCCATCCCAACCCCCTCAACCCCGCCATCCTAACCCCCTCAAGCCCATCATCCCAACCCCCTCAACCCCACCATCCCAACCCCCTCAACCCCCTCAACCCCACCATCCCAACCCCCTCAACCCCCTCAACCCCACCATCCCAACCCCATCATCCCAAGCCCCTCAACCCCATCATCCCAACCCCCTCAACCCCGCCATCCCAACCCCCACAACCCCGCCATCCCAACCCCCTCAACCCCGCCATCCCAACCCCCTCAACCCCGCCATCCCAACCCCCTCAACCCCGCCATCCCAACCCCATCATCCCAACCCCCTCAACCCCGCCATCCCAACCCCCTCAACCCCGCCATCCCAACCCCCTCAACCCCATCATCCCAACCCCCTCAACCCCCTCAACCGCACCATCCCAACCCCCTCAACCCCCTCAACCCCACCATCCCAACCCCATCATCCCAACCCCCTCAACCCCATCATCCCAACCCCCTCAACCCCGCCATCCCAACCCTGCCATCCCAACCCCCTCAACCCCACCATCCCAACCCCCTCAACCCCACCTTCCCAACCCCCTCAACCCCACCATCTCAACCCCATCATCCCAACCCCCTCAACCCCATCATCCCAACCCCATCATCCCAACCCCCTCAACCCCATCATCCCAACCCCCTCAACCCCGCCATCCCAACCCCCTCAACCCCACCATCCCAACCCCGCCATCCCAACCCCCTCAACCCCGCCATCCCAACCCCCTCAACCCCGCCATCCCAACCCCCTCAACCCCACCATCCCAACCCTGCCATCCCAACCCCCTCAACCCCGCCATCCCAACCCCCTCAACCCCACCATCCCAACCCCACCATCCCAACCCCACCATCCCAACCCCCTCAACCCCGCCATCCCAACCCCCTCAACCCCGCCATCCCAACCCCCTCAACCCCACAATCCCAACCCCGCCATCCCAACCCCCTCAACCCCGCCATCCCAACCCCCTCAACCCCGCCATCCCAACCCCCTCAACCCCGCCATCCCAACCCCCTCAACCCCATCATCCCAACCCCCTCAACCCCCTCAACCCCACCATCCCAACCCCCTCAACCCCCTCAACCCCACCATCCCAACCCCATCATCCCAACCCCCTCAACCCCATCATCCTAACCCCCTCAACCCCGCCATCCCAACCCCCTCAACCCCGCCATCCCAACCCCCTCAACCCCGCCATCCCAACCCTGCCATCCCAACCCCCTCAACCCCACCATCCCAACCCCCTCAACCCCACCTTCCCAACCCCCTCAACCCCACCATCCCAACCCCATCATCCCAACCCCCTCAACCCCATCATCCCAACCCCATCATCCCAACCCCCTCAACCCCATCATCCCAACCCCCTCAACCCCGCCATCCCAACCCCCTCAACCCCACCATCCCAACCCCGCCATCCCAACCCCCTCAACCCCGCCATCCCAACCCCCTCAACCCCGCCATCCCAACCCCCTCAACCCCACCATCCCAACCCTGCCATCCCAACCCCCTCAACCCCACCATCCCAACCCCCTCAACCCCGCCATCCCAACCCCACCATCCCAACCCCACCATCCCAACCCCCTCAACCTCGCCATCCCAACCCCCTCAACCTCGCCATCCCAACCCCCTCAACCCCGCCATCCCAACCCCCTCAACCCCACCATCCCAACCCCATCATCCCAACCCCCTCAACCCCGCCATCCCAACCCCCTCAACCCCGCCATCCCAACCCCCTCAACCCCGCCATCCCAACCCTGCCATCCCAACCCCATCAACCCCATCATCCCAACCCCATCAACCCCCTCAACCCCACCATCCCAACCCCACCATCCCAACCCCATCATCCCAACCCCATCAAACCCCTCATCCCAACCCCCTCAACCCCACCATCCCAACCCCGCCATCCCAACCCCCTCAACCCCGCCATCCTAACCCCCTCAAGCCCATCATCCCAACCCCCTCAACCCCACCATCCCAACCCCCTCAACTCCCTCAACCCCACCATCCCAACCCCCTCAACCCCCTCAACCCCACCATCCCAACCCCATCATCCCAACCCCCTCAACCCCATCATCCCAACCCCCTCAACCCCGCCATCCCAACCCCCACAACCCCGCCATCCCAACCCCCTCAACCCCGCCATCCCAACCCCCTCAACCCCGCCATCCCAACCCCCTCAACCCCGCCATCCCAACCCCATCATCCCAACCCCCTCAACCCCGCCATCCCAACCCCCTCAACCCCGCCATCCCAACCCCCTCAACCCCGCCATCCCAACCCCCTCAACCCCATCATCCCAACCCCCTCAACCCCCTCAACCCCACCATCCCAAGCCCCTCAACCCCCTCAACCCCACCATCCCAACCCCATCATCCCAACCCCCTCAACCCCATCATCCCAACCCCCTCAACCCCGCCATCCCAACCCTGCCATCCCAACCCCCTCAACCCCACCATCCCAACCCCCTCAACCCCACCTTCCCAACCCCCTCAACCCCACCATCTCAACCCCATCATCCCAACCCCCTCAACCCCATCATCCCAACCCCATCATCCCAACCCCCTCAACCCCATCATCCCAACCCCCTCAACCCCGCCATCCCAACCCCCTCAACCCCACCATCCCAACCCCGCCATCCCAACCCCCTCAACCCCGCCATCCCAACCCCCTCAACCCCGCCATCCCAACCCCCTCAACCCCACCATCCCAACCCTGCCATCCCAACCCCCTCAACCCCGCCATCCCAACCCCCTCAACCCCACCATCCCAACCCCACCATCCCAACCCCACCATCCCAACCCCCTCAACCCCGCCATCCCAACCCCCTCAACCCCGCCATCCCAACCCCCTCAACCCCACAATCCCAACCCCGCCATCCCAACCCCCTCAACCCCGCCATCCCAACCCCCTCAACCCCGCCATCCCAACCCCCTCAACCCCGCCATCCCAACCCCCTCAACCCCATCATCCCAACCCCCTCAACCCCCTCAACCCCACCATCCCAACCCCCTCAACCCCCTCAACCCCACCATCCCAACCCCATCATCCCAACCCCCTCAACCCCATCATCCCAACCCCCTCAACCCCGCCATCCCAACCCCCTCAACCCCGCCATCCCAACCCCCTCAACCCCGCCATCCCAACCCTGCCATCCCAACCCCCTCAACCCCACCATCCCAACCCCCTCAACCCCACCTTCCCAACCCCCTCAACCCCACCATCCCAACCCCATCATCCCAACCCCCTCAACCCCATCATCCCAACCCCATCATCCCAACCCCCTCAACCCCATCATCCCAACCCCCTCAACCCCGCCATCCCAACCCCCTCAACCCCACCATCCCAACCCCGCCATCCCAACCCCCTCAACCCCGCCATCCCAACCCCCTCAACCCCGCCATCCCAACCCCCTCAACCCCACCATCCCAACCCTGCCATCCCAACCCCCTCAACCCCACCATCCCAACCCCCTCAACCCCGCCATCCCAACCCCACCATCCCAACCCCACCATCCCAACCCCCTCAACCTCGCCATCCCAACCCCCTCAACCCCGCCATCCCAACCCCCTCAACCCCACCATCCCAACCCCACCATCCCAACCCCACCATCCCAACCCCCTCAACCCCGCCATCCCAACCCCCTCAACCCCGCCATCCCAACCCCCTCAACCCCACAATCCCAACCCCGCCATCCCAACCCCCTCAACCCCGCCATCCCAACCCCCTCAACCCCGCCATCCCAACCCCCTCAACCCCGCCATCCCAACCCCCTCAACCCCATCATCCCAACCCCATCAACCCCCTCAACCCCATCATCCCAACCCCGCCATCCCAACCCCGCCATCCCAAACCCCTCAACGCCACCATCCCAACCCCCTCAACCCCATCATCCCAACCCCCTCAACCCCACCATCCCTACCCCCTCAACCCCACCATCCCAACCCCCTCAACCCCATCATCCCAACCCCCTCAACCCCACCATCCCAACCCGATCAACCCCCTCAACCCCACCATCCCAACCCCCTCAACCCCCTCAACCCCACCATCCCAACCCCCTCAACCCCCTCAACCCCACCATCCCAACCCCCTCAACCCCACCATCCCAACCCCCTCAACCCCCTCAACCCCACCATCCCAACCCCATCATCCGAACCCCCTCAACCCCATCATCCCAACCCCCTCAACCCCGCCATCCCAACCCCCTCAACCCCGCCATCCCAACCCCCTCAACCCTGCCATCCCAACCCCGCCATCCCAACCCCCTCAACCCCGCCATCCCAACCCCCTCAACCCCGCCATCCCAACCCCCTCAACCCCGCCATCCCAACCCCCTCAACCCCATCATCCCAACCCCCTCAACCCCGCCATCCCAACCCCCTCAACCCCGCCATCCCAACCCCCTCAACCCCGCCATCCCAACCCCCTCAACTCCGCCATCCCAACCCCAACCCTGTCCCATTCTCACTCCAACCCATCTCAGCCCCATCTCAACCAGTAAGAGGTGAGCGGCCTGTGTGCAGCCTGCCATCTGCCCTGCCGTCTGGTGGAGAGTTGCATCTTAGTGCAGCATCCTATTTGAATAAAAAAGCAAAAAGCACTGGAGGCGTGGCTCGCGTGGTAAAGCACCTGGCAAGGGCAAAACCCCCGAGTTCAGACCCCTGTATTGCCAAGCAAATGGCCTGTGGAGTGTAGGTTTCCACAAGGAAAGAAAAGACAGGCGCTGTGCAGCCGCCGGGTTCTGCTCTAATGAAGCCTTTGCCCCGCAGGTTCTGAAAGGCTCAACGTGCAAGTCACAGTTCCCGAGAAAATACAGTCAATAGAAGGCGAAGGATATGCGACACATGTAATTAACCGCTACCCGCTTTGGGCAGTTTACAAACCCTGTGGACATGGGGTCCTTGGAGTTCCTTTGCCATTTTCGCCTGTGCACTGTGTACTTGGTGGCTGTCCCGTGGGAAAAGCTGTATCTGAAGAGGAAGCACAAGAAACAGTGTATTGCCTGGATGGGGAATGGTGGTTGGGCCTCGGTCCCCCTTCCAAATCTGCCTGGGAATATTCGGCCCCAGCCGGTACTTTCTTCTGACCCACATAGTCTTCAGACTATGCTTTGAGGATTGTTTTTGGGGGGATAGAGTGGTTATTCTATTTACTCGTGTTTCTTGCTCCACTGTGGATTGCACACACGTTATATGGCCAAGAATGTTCAAGTTCATTTCTTTCAGATTAGGGTTCATGTTCATTTTTCTTCACATTGAACAACTCTATCCTTTGTGGTGGTTGTTTGGGTGGTTGTTTGGGATTGTTCTAGAATCATTTCTAGACAAGTACATTCCGATAGTATGGATTAAACACTAAATCTTTTTCAGGATATTTTTAAATCACTTTTTTGTTCAACCATAATAGAAATACAAGCTAGAAATGTAAGTTGTTTTTTAATATTTTGATCATGTTTACAGAGACTTTGCTAGGTTGATTTATTGCTTCTAACTTCCCTCTAGGTCTTATGTTGTATATAAGTATTGTAAGTTTAAGATGGGATGGGGGTAGCATTATTTGCGAAGGGTCTTCCTGTTGTCCTGCTAAAGCTGCTCTGGGAAGAAAGGTAGTAATGATCTTCCCTGGTGTTCCCTGCCTGGGCTCAGACGGGAAGATGGAGTCAGTAGCAGCATTTGATGGGAAGGAGTCATAACACTCAATCTGTGTTTCGTTCAGAGCATCTGGTCCCACCCATTCTCTGCAGCGCATTGGTTGAGCTCCTACAGTGGGTGTTGTCTTTTGAAAAACGCAGACATGGTTCATTGGTTTGTAGGGGGACAGTGAGAAGGTTGTGAAGACACAGAAATCAAATCAAGTGAATACCGGTCCTCCTACACATACGAAAGGATAAGGGTTTGTGTTGTGGCTGCCCGCTTCACTTCCTGTCTCCTCCTCCTGAGTTCCCTTCCCCCATGTCTTTCCTCCTGGGTAGCCTAAAATAGGTGGTACCCACCAGACAATGAATGACGATTAAGATGAGCAGGGCAAATTGATCTTAATTTTAATTTCATTTCATTCAGTGTGTCCAGATAGGTTCAGTTCATGGAGGAAAAAGGCAAAGTTTTGGCTTCAGTGTTCTGGATGAATGATAGCTGTAGACATGGCTATCTTCATCCAGGAACCCTTTCCTCGTGTAATCCTATTTGCAAAGAGTCTTTAATGAAATAATCAAATTAAATGCATTCTTCAGAACAGGCCCTAATCCAAGGTATCTGGTGTGCTTAGAGGAAGAGGAGATTTGGGGGCTGGGCAGGATGGCACACGTCTATAATCCCAGCTGCTGGGAACGGGGAGACAGGAGGATGGCGGTCCCAGGCCCCAGCAAAGTCAGCCTAAGTCCTTACCTGGAAAACAAGCAAGAATAAATAAATAAGGCAAAGGACAAGTAATAGAGAGCTTACCCAGAAAACACGAGGACCAGAGTTCAAAACCCAGTACCAGGGGATAAAAGAAGTAAGATTCAGAGGAGGGCAGTGAAAAGAGAGGAGATGGTCACCTGCCAACCTGGGAGAGGGGCCTCAGGCTTACCTTCCCTCCCAGCCCCCAGGAAACTCCTACCTCACCAACACTTCCTACTCTGACCTAAAAGCTCAGGAAAATACATTTCAGTTGCCTAAACCAACACACACACACACACACACACACACACACACACACACACACACACACACACATGCACGCACGCACGCACGCACGCATGCACACCAAAAATGCAACTTAATAAAAGGCATAGGACTGTTGCTTAGCTATATAATATAATGCCTATCACATGTTAGACTCAATTCTAGCTAATATAAATGCATCAAACAGATTGTTAAAAATTGAAAGAAAATATGAGAGACGTGTTTAGGCTCTTATAATGGAAAAGAATTGAGTAAGGGATTAAGAAGCACAGATCCTGGAGTGGAATAATTGGGGAGGATCTAGGTTTAAGTACATCAACCATTATCAGAAACAAAGTGGCAAATATTCCAACTCAACCTTAAATCTATTTACTACATCTAAAGTATCCAGAATATATCAAGAACTTCTGAAAATCAGTTAGAAATAAAAAAGAAGCATGTATAAAGTTATAAATGTTAACCTTGAGAAGTTAACAAACGTAATCACATTCAGATTGAGAAACTTACAAAGAATTGCCAAATAACTAATGTAGGGCACTATTTTACATCCAGTGTTTGCAACAATTAAATCCAACAAAGCAATATATGATGAGAGTACATAAGTTATAAAAAAAAAAAAAAGTTCATCTTATTTTCTGTTTGTGAATTGATACAACCAATGGAAAGAGTTGTGGGGTTTTTTTTTTGTTGTTGTTGTTTTTTGAGTCTGGTTGTGGGGCCTGAACTCAGGGCCTGGTCGCTGTCCCTCAGCTCTTCAGCTCAAGGCTAGGGCTCTACCACTTGAGCCACAGCGCCACTTCCGGCTTTTTTCTTCTTGCTTATGTGGTGCTGAGGAATCGAACCCAGGGCCTCATGCATGCAAGGCAAGCGCTCTACCACTGAGCCACCTTCCCCAGCCAAGAGTTGTGGGGTTTTTTTGTTTTGTTTTGTTTTTAATTGTTGGTCATGGAGCTTGAACTCTGGGCCTGGGCACTGTCCCTAAGCTCTTCAGCTCAAGGCTACCACTTGAGCCATACTGCCACTTCCAGTTTTCTAGTGGTTCATTGAAGATAAGAGTCTCACAGACTTTCCTGCCCGAGCTGGCTTTGAACCACCACCCTCAGAGCTCAGCCTCCTGAGTAGCTAGGATGACAGATATGAGCCACGGACACCCCGCTTAAGAGTTGTGTTGGGTTTTGTTTTCACAATGTGGGAACAGTCCACACCTTTGGCATTCCTGGAAAGGACTTACAGCACAGGCCTGTCCGCTGTAGATGGACACATTTCAACATCCACCCATCCCATGAGTATACAAAATAAATTCTCAAGGGAAATTAAAATTTAAAAATCCACCTAGCAACATTTTCTGTAAACATGATTGAAATAGTAAAAGTACCTTGCATTTCTAGTGTGCATTTCTATTATGGTAAACTGATTTTTTTTTAATCCTGAAAAAGATTTAGGGTACAATATATACTATCAGAAGGCAATGATAAGCAAAACAAAAACTGGTATGAGAAAATTTTAACTGGAGAGTTAGTCCATGTTTGTAGCCTGCCATGTTCAATAGTGAAAAGAGACTGCTCCCACACAGTGACACAGAGAATAAATTGTCCGTGCATCAGATACCACTTTTAATCTTTGTTAGTAGAGGCCATAAGCATTGCGTTCAAGCAACGAACATATTTCATCAAATCTATAAATAACATACATTATATGCTATTAACTCTTTGCTTTACTGTGTATAAATTTTCTATTGAGTGGAGACTTGACTATTGCAAGGAAATTTGACCATTTTACTGGTCTCAAACTTTTAATAAACGAACACATTCATTGGATAAGAATAATTCATTCTTCATATCCTATTATATTGGGTAAATTTAAAAATGAATAAAAAACTACACAATGCTATTCTTCTATCCAATATTATCATAATGAAGGCCACAATATTAACACTGAAATAACTCAATATGAATAATTTATAAATGATTATGAATATTCAGCTTTAAAATCTCCTTCTAGTGTATTGTGTTTGGAAATGTAATCATCATTAATGTAAAAATAATCATTTCCTCTGCTACTGATGCTTTTTTTTTCTGGTTTTCCTTGCTTTTTAAATGTGCCCACCCTGCAGATATCCTACAGCATTATGATTGAAGGGAAAACATACACTATGCACCTAAAGCAAAAGTAAGTGACCTTTATCTCAACCGTCTTTGTTCTGTGATTATTACTTGCAAATATCTAGAACATGATTATGGTGGATTTGAGAGTAATTCTAGTTAGTACCTACTTATTTTTTTCTGTTTTTATTTAAAATTTTTGTCCTTTTTTTCCTTCTTTTTTAGACAGGATCTTGCTGTGCAGTTCAGGCTGTTACCACCTTGAAACTCTCCTGCCTCAGCCTCCTGAGTATTGGAATTGCAGGCATGCACCCCTGTCCCCCACTTCATTTGTGTCTTATTTGTGCTTGGAAAAATCTTTTCAGTCTTTCAATTATTCCTCAGAGCTGGCAGCTCTCCTCCTCCTCCCTAGTTGAGTCAGAATTGTTTTGGACAGTTTGTAAGGTGGCCTGATAATTTTGCTAATTTTTAAAATAATTTTCTATCTTTTTGATAATTTTTAATCATTTTCTATCTTTCTGTGAACATAAACATGGCCTGTTTTCAAGTTCCTTTCTATCTAAACTATACTTAAATAATCTCAACAGATTCTTTGATGGACTGAATTATGACAATAATTTTAAGTTAGTGTATCACCGAAGCAATGAGAAATGAGAAACGCCTCTGAGCCATTCCAGAGTTCAGAACTGCAGCCTCTTCACCATACTTTATGAAACTGTCTTCTCCCTAAGATACACAATCCTTGTCTGAAAGAAGACATAAAAAGTGCACTCCAGTTACATATTGCTACATTTCTTGAGTGCTGTGTATTTTCAGCAAAAGCACAGGGCCCCGGAGAGAAGCCTGCAGTGGCTGTGACCGCGGCTGACTGCGGTGGGCCAAACCATGCTGCTGCGTGGCAGTCATTGGTGGGCTTTGCTCGGGAAGGGATCCGGACTAAAAACACATATGGCATTACGAATGACAGGCACTGCTAAGAGCCTGGAAGACGCCGTGCTTGGTCTCTGATGCGTTTCTAAGGACTCTGATTCTTCAATTTCAGAATTCACGATCTGCTTTAATTCTGGAGACTTCGTGCCAATTTTTGAGTGTAATGTTCCCTTTTTCTCACTCTAGTACTGTACCTGGCTTGCTGTTGACTGTGCATTATGATCGTTTGAGGGAACCACTGTCGCTTTTCCAAAGTTAACTATACTTGACTCATCTGTCACCTGCCCTGCTAGTCTTGATTTTGTCCTTTATTTCAAATATTTTCTTCAGATATCAGCTTTCATTTTACTGTTTCTCTATACAAAAGATGCCTCATTTACTCTAGGAATTTTTTTCGGTGTATTGCTGTATTTTTGCGTAGAGCATTTCTGAACAAATATGCACCACTGTGATCAGTAAAGCTTGACAGCTTCTATTCCTGGGTCTTCAATGCGTCCATCGTTCACTTAATTATTGTTATTTCTCTACACACAGGGCAAGTGTTGGGCTTTCTTACACATGGACAGCTTTTCTCACACGTGTGGTGAGGCGTCCTCTTCCAGGGCGCTGTCTGTCTGGGCTTTCTTTGGGGTGCACTTAGGGATGCTGGTATTTCACGCCTGGATCAGCAGCTCAGCTCAGATTCCCACCTGTCCTTTCACGGTTTCAGCAGTGAAGGCGTTTGTTTGAGATGTATTTCTCATCCGTGTGGAGGAGAGCTTGGGTTTCCATGTCTTCAGAATCACAAATGGTGAGGCCTGGCCTGGGCCACAGCGCTCAGCCTGCGTCCACCATCTGCACCCAGCAGGAATCTTCATTTATTTGGGCTGAAGTAACAAAACACAGAAACAAATGGAAGTGAAAATGCTCTCCTTTAGTGTGTTCACTCAAGCAATGTGTCATGGTAATACAAAGGGACCAACACGGTTCTGGAGGCGGGAGTGAAGAGCAAGCATGCTCGAGGAGTCTGCTCTTGTGGTCTTAGAATACTGATTCATGGTCTAAACAACCCTCCTAACATCACACCAGTTAAGAGGCTTCAACATACAAATTTAGAGAAGGCACGGTTATGTGATAATTTTTCCTCTTGTTATTCACAAATCTGCAAAGTATTTCTATCTTTGGCAGTATGAAGATTTAAACTCAAGGACATTGTACCTGCTCAGCTTGTTTACTTAGGTCGCACTCTACCATCTGAGCCAGGCCACTGGCCAAGCTTTTTGGTAGCTACTTTGGAGATGGAGTCTTGCAAGACTGTTCTCTTCTTCCCTTTGAACTGTGATGCTCTGGATCTCAGCATCCAAAGTAGCTAGATTATGAGGGTGAGCCACCAGTCACCAGCTAGCTCTACACTTTGGGCTGGAAAACATTTTGCCTTTTTTGTGTCACAGTAAAAAAAAGAAAAATCCTTTCCCAGGCTAAAGCTACAGATTTCTTTCTATGCTTGTTTCCTATCAGCTTTATAGTTTCAGGTAGTAAGTCTTCAATCCACTTTTCGTGAATTTTGTACATGGTATAAGACAAAAAGGTCCAATTTCATCTTCTTTGTGTGGATATTCAATCTTCCAAAAATTATTTAAAGAGAAGTTCTTCCCCATGCATGTTCTTGATAAGTTTGTTAGAGATCAATTGATTATCAATGTATGGATTTGTTCCTCTGACACAACTCTGTTCCATTGGTCTATGTATCTGTTTTCTTTTTAACACCCATAGCATGGAGTTTCTATTACCATAGCTTGGTAGTATATTTCAAAATCAGGTAGTCTGGTGCCACCAACTGTACTTTTTGCTCAAAACTACTTTGGCTATTCAGAGGGAATTGACAGGAGGTGGAAGATCCGTAGAGTGGAAGATCTTTTTCTGCCAACCTGCCTAAGCAGGTTGCACCTTTCTCCAAAATAGAACCTTAGGGAACAATTTTTCTGTTAAATACCTTTTCACCTTTATTTTCACAGACCTTTTTTACCCAGCAGTTTTAAAGTTTATAGTTACGACGGTTCGGGAATTATGACGCCTCTTGATGAAGATATTGAGGTACGTTGTCTGTGTCACCCGTTTCCTCCACAACTGACATTCTGTTTTGTTTTGACATGCACGTAATCATTTCCGGTCGGTGACAGGACTTGGCCCTTATCGCAGCAGGACGGTGACCAAACCCAGTAGGATTTGAGCGCTTTCCAAACTAGCCATTTCCCTGGCGTGCGTGTGCGTGTGTGTGTGTGTGTGTGTGTGTGTGTGTGTGTGTGTGTGTGACCACTGGGTCAAACCTCAAATGGAAAGTCATGATTTACATCAGGGGTTTTCAACCGATCTAATTTTCATACCTGAAATGCAGGGTCCGGCAGCCGCTGGGGGGTTAATCGCTGGCATGCCCCATCATCTCGCTCTGTCGGTCAGCATTTGACTTTTCTTTTTTCTTCCCAGCCATCTGCTTCCCAGAAATCCTGCCAACTGGCCAGCTACTTGCAGACTGGTGCTGATGGAATCTAGGGATCTCCTACCCATTCACCCCACCCCTACTTCCCGCACTGTATTTTTGGGGACTTGTGCTTCTCTGTGTTCTGTTGCACACAGAATCGGCTCGTCTGGGAAGAGATTAGGTGGCACTGTCCCATTTTGCAGCCGGATTCTCATTGGATGATGTGTCTAGGCCGAGGCTGAAGGCTCAGGTGGTCTGCTCCTGTTCTTGAAGGAGCTTGCTCCTGCTGTCAGCGTAGCCCTTTCAACGTCTTCTTCATCCTCTGCTTCTAGAAGCTGGAAGGGTGGGAAGCAAGAGTTGGAACAACTCCTTTGGGTTTACTTGATGCAAGTTTGGTGGGCCTGGCTGTCGAGTGATTAACTGTGGCAAGTCCACACTTGGACATCCTTGTAGGCGCTGCGGGGAGATCCGGTTCCCTCCTCCGATCATGGCTCTTCTGTGCTGTAACTTTCCCCGCGGCTTCTGTAGATCCCCGGCCGCTCCCGCTACCTGTGGCTCTTCTGGCTTCTCCCCTGCCTCTTGCCCACGCGTTCCCTGCCTTGGCCTACCACACACTTTAAGAGCAGATAAACCAACACAGAAGAATTCTCTTCTCTGTTCTTCAGCTGTCCTGGTCTTGGCCAGATTTGTTGGTATCCATGAACTTTTCTAGTTCCTCTCCCTCCAATTTGATATTTCAAAGCCCAGATAAAAGCAAAGTTGAGTTCCAGCAACACAAGCGAATTCTATGGCCAGGGAAGTGGAGCTCTGTGAGGAAAGCACCCTCACAGGACCAATGAAACGGGGCGGGAGGCGGGGGCGCTAGGACAGGCTGAGAGGGGCAGACTAATCATGGGGATTGGCCTGGAGTTGGTGGGGGGTTCTCAGAAAGCAGTGACGCTTTCTGTCATGGTAGCTGGCAGGCGTGGCTCTTCGATGGACATTTGATCACAATGAAGCTAGAGGTTGTCCCGATTAAGTCTATCAGCCATCTTAGGTCCAGTGGTTTTGCACACTCACCTGAAGGGAACTTCCAGCCATCAGGCATCTTGTCTTCCAGGAGTAGTGAGAAATCCAGCCTGGCTTCTAGGAAGCCAGGTGGGGTGGCAGGGAGCATCTTTCACATATTCTCAGTCAAGATTAAGTGCACCTCAGCTAATGGCCCACATTTTACGGCCTCCTTCTGCACCTTCTGCCTCTGTTGGACCCTGAATTTCAGTTTCTAACACTCCTGAGACTGTGGCCACCTCTGCGGAAGGATTGGGTTTTCGGTTGCGATATTGCCTGCCCTGGGAGCCAGCCAGGATCCCCACGGGTGTAATTACCTCCTTTCTTGGGTTCAATATATTTCCCTTCCTGTTTCTGTCTACCTTTGTAATGCAAGCCCAGAAGGTATTTTCCACATTTTATCTTTGGTCCACCCCCAACTACCCCTCCAAATAATTTCTCTTGCAGATGTGAATTCGTTTTGCTTCTCTGGCGTGCAGAATTAAGTCAGAGGAGTATGAAAAAAATAAATGGTTTTAATTATTTTTAAACCTTATCCTAACGATTGAAAGTCACATTGAATTTATAACACAGGAAAAATGTGGAAACTACTACTGAGTTCTTTGGGAACCTGAGCAGGACGGGGGGGGGGGGGGGGAGGGAGGGGTGTGGGGGGAGGGGTGATTTCAGAAAATCAAGCCATGGCCTCCCCTATCATCTTAGAAGTCCATTTTGGAAACAGTGAGTACTTGAGGCACACAACCCAAGACGTGTGTTTTCAGCGTCTAACAATGCTGCCTTGGACATGAGCTCCTCTCATACGGGGTTTCCCTTTGTCTTCCAGAGCTCCTGCCACTACCAAGGATATTTGGAGGGGTACCCCAACTCCATGGCGACGCTTAGCACGTGCACCGGGCTCAGGTTGTAACGCAGCACCGAGGGGTACAAAGTGGATCACTTAGCTGGAAATTATTTCTGCTAATGGCCTGGCTGAATTGGATCATAGTGTATTAATTGATAACTAGACAAATACTAATTACATTATTTTCTGTGCCATACCCATTAACTTTTCTTACTTTCACTACCTAAGTCTGATCACGATATGTATACAAACAAAAAGCAACAGCACCCACATCAATCAAGTGCACTGGCTTGTAAAAGTATGGTGGTGTTTATATTGATGCTTGCAAACGCGTTAGCTCGCTCACACCGCTTTTGTTCTCGTTTGCAGGGGCATCCTGCAGTTTGGAAACATTAGCTACGGAATTGAACCTCTGGAGTCTGCGCTTGGTTTTGAGCACGTCATTTATCAACTACAGCACAAGAGAACGAGTGTTTCTTTATATGCCGAGAAGGAGTTTGAGTTACGAGATCTGCCCTATGAAGTGCAAAGAATAGAGGTTGGTGGCTCATCAACTACATTGTATTTTTTCCTGTAGGCTCTCCTTTTCAAGTATTGGTATTTCCTATGTGGCACCTTGGGTTTATTTAGCTTATCCATTTTATTGCACATTTTCTTTGGTTTTATCTACTAGGACTTACAGGTGTCCTGTTCCCACTCCAAATACCCGAGTTAAGTGATTTCATATTTAACATATTGGTTGCCCCAATTAAACACACACAGAGTTCATCCGTCTGTCTGTCTGTCATCTGTCTACCTATCATATTCCTGTTCCTTCCTACTCCCCAAATACTCATGCCAATGTCCTTTGATATCTTGTAAACTTTAATCCCTAATTACCAACACTGCCACTGGACCATACCAGTAGACTGTCCTTGGATCGGTGTGATGGAGTCAGTTCCTCAGTACTCGCTGAGGCCCCAGCCCGCTTCACCCCACAATTGGAGTCATCTTTGCACACCACGTGTCTCAGCACACACATCTTGTGTTGCTGACCTTTTCCTATTAAACAACCTGGCTTTGAAGTCCTTTGAAATCTGGCCCTTGCCCACCTTCCCAAAAGAATCACAGTGTCTAGAATTCTCTTATGCCTGCATCTTACATTTTAATTTTTTTGGTGAACTGATTTTTTTTGTCGGTTGTGGGGCTTGAACTCCAGGCTTGGGTGCTACCTTATCCCTGCGCTCTTCAGCTCAAGGCAAGCGCTCTACCACTTGAGCCACAGCACCACTTCTGGTTTTCTAGTGGTTAATTGGAGATAAGAGTCTCACAAACTTTTCTGCCCAGGCTAGCTTTGAACCGTTATCCTCAGATCTCAGCCTCCTGAGTAGCTAGGATTACAGGCGTGAGCCACCAGCGTCCGACTGATTATTTTCTTTAAGATTTTTAATAAACAGATCAGCAGCAGTCCTAATTTAAATGATGAAAATGAGTATTAAACAACCAGCACTTGGTAATTGGTTGGAAGGAAGAAATAACCTCGAATCTTTAAACCACTGAATGCAGTGTTTTTTCAGTAGCTTAGATGCAGTAAAGGACTCTGTGTCCAGGAACTTCAATGAAATGACGATTTTTTTTTTTTAATTTCCCCATTGAAACCATGAACTATTCGGTCCTTAAATGTTGGGTAGTAATGTTGGGCAGAAAAATTCATGACTCTTTTCTTCAGTTAACCAGCCAAAAGCCTGAAGTAGAACTATGGCTCACGTGAAGGAACCTTGAGCAAAAAGCTAAGCAACAGTGCCGAGGCCCTGAGTTCCAAGTCTCAGTATCAGCATCAAAAAAATCATAAAATGGAGATAGTAGAAGTGTCTGGCATCTCTGAGCTTGGGGCCTCTGCTCTACATTCTGGTCGCTGTCCACGCACCAGGGTGGTTTTGTTGTCATGGTCACATAGCATTGTGTGTCCTCCGCACTGCAGTGCCCAGGGTTTGCTAAGCTTGTTTTATAGTCTGGCATTAGTGCACATCTCCTCATGTAACAACTACAGTGACAATGGGTTAACATTTTGTTAGCAAACCCATTTTCCAGAATAGTCTAAGCCATAGATAGGTTAATCAAGAACAGAAGCTTCGTGAAACCAGATATTTGGATCTAACATAGCCACTATATTCTAAGTGTCTGACATCAGATGCCAAATGCCAGTGTCTGTGGTCTAGTTTAAGCCAATCCATCATTTGACACCCTGTTACTTACCTTGTCTGAGGTACATGATACAAGGGTTGATGTCCCAGTACTCTCTGGGAGCATGTACAAAGTCATAACACAAAATAATGTAGTCAAAGTCTCATTAGGCTAATAGAACTAAATGCAGGGCCAATGAGAATTTTTCAACACTGAGCTCATTAATAGTAGTGACAAATATTGAAAAGACTAATTCCTCAGTTTGGGACATAATGTTTGTGGATTCTTTTCAGGCACAAAAAGATCTCCCTCACTATATAGAAATGCATATTGTTGTTGAAAAACGACTGGTAAGTACAGTTTGATTTATTTTGGTTGGGGGCTGAATTTTATTCTCAATAATAAATTATGAAAAGAACTTTCTTGTGTTGCCAGTAGGAGTTTTTAATAGAGAACTAATAATAAATTTGCATTTCCCATGTTGTAATGTATTTTGAATTGTTTTTTTATCAGTAGGCAATTGGAAATTGAATTTCTATAAAAATTTTATTATTAATTTATAAATAGTAATATAAACAAAACAAATGTTCCCTAATAACCATTTACAGATAGTTATAGAATTGTAGGGAACTTATTGCATGTACTCTAGCACTAAATTTTGAAAACAACAGTTGACAAGATTTCTGTTGTTTAAAGAAGAAATAAGAAGTTCTCCCTTCATAACATCTCTTAGTAGGTAGGGAAACAATGGTCTTTACTGTAGAAGAGGAAATCATGTTTCCAGAAGGTTCTTTCCCACCAGATTTCCTCCTGAAATAGAACTACAATTAAGTAAAATTTAGAATCCGAAAATAATTTCTTCTTTAATGTAAGTTTTAAAATTATTTTTAAACAGTTATACAAAAGGATTTCAATTCAACATGTCAATTTCCTTTTCCTTTTCTTTTTCTATTTTGCATCCAAGTTCCCAACTTCAGCCTTAAAAACTAAATGAATATTCTGAATATTCTTAATATATTTAGGGAATCTTTCAAAGGAAATACCTGCACCTTTGCCAGTAATCCACTGGCCATCAAAGTTTCTGTGTATTTCAGAACTCTGAATTCTATACCACTAATCAGCATATCTGTCACTGAACTGATCCTAAGTGACTTAAAGATTGTAATTTACAGTTAACTGTGAAATAAGGAAATCTAAGTCTTTATACATCTCTTAATTGGGTCAGTGTGTTATTGCTCAGTCATAAACAATTAAGTCAACCACTAGATTGTCTTTATTTTGTTGGTGATGATATTAACATAAAAGTTTTAATTTTACCAACATATATGTCTTTGCCTGTTTCATCTTCTTATGTCTTCCTGAATATCATTTGATGGGAGTTACTTTGGGTCACTCTCATTTCTGTGTCATTGATCTAAGATTAATCTGGAATCATGAGTATGCTGTATTTATTGCTATACCTTTGCAGTTAGCTTTGAAGTTGAAGACTCAACTTTGTTCTTATTCCAAATCATTCTGGACATTTCAGATTATGTTAATTTTCAAATAGATTTTAGGATCAACTTTTTGATTACCCTGCAATGGCAACTGTAATTTTTGTAGGAATTGACTTGACTCTTTGGACCAATTTGGATATTTCCACCTTTTTAACAATACAAAGCTTTACAATGTCTTTTATGTCTTTACAATGTCTTTACTTATGTCTTTTACTTTCAGCAGTGTAATTTTCAGTGTTTGTCTTGAATTTTTTTTACTAAGATTATTATTATTATTATTTTGTTGGTCATGGGGCTTGAACTCTGGGCCTGGGCACTGTCCCTCAGCTCTTCAGCTCAAGGTGAACACTCTACCTCTTGAGCCACAGTGTCATTTCCAGTTTTCTGGTGATTTATTGGTGATAAGAGTCTCATAGACTTTCCTGCCTGGGCTGGCTTTGAACCGTGATCCTCAGATATCAGCTTCTTCAGTAGCTAGGATTACAGGTATGAGCCACTAGCACCCGACTAGTCATTATTTTTGTGTTATAAGTGATTTGCTTCCTTCCTGTAATTTTTGAACTACTTATTCCTGGCATATGAAATAGAATTGACTTTTGTATCTGCTCTTATATCCTATGGATTTACCAAAATCCTATGGATTTATCCTGATAGTTTTTAGTGGATTTCTTAGGATTTTCTGTGTACAAATGTCTGCTGGCAAAGTGTTAAACATTTTTCTTTCCTAAATGAGTATATATTGATTTCTTTTATTTGAATGAGTACCTTGTCAAGAAGTCTGGATAGCTCAAGCCCCACAACTGACAAAACAAACAAACAAAAAATGAAGTCTGGATAGTATTTGTGCAGTGGGAACAGGTGTCACTGTCTTTCAGGCTCTCAGAAAAAAAACACAAATTCCTTTATTGATTCTGATGTGATCAGTGGGTTTTTCATAGATTTCTTTTCTTTACCAGATTGAATGTTTGATATTGTTTTTTATCATGAATGGGCATTTATTTTCAAGTTTTTATGTTTCTATTGATAGAATTATATGGATTTGGACTTTTATCCTATAACAAATTATATTTTATGGTTGATTTTCAGCTGTCACACCAACCTTGCATTCCTAGAATAAACCCCATTTACTTGGATTGCATATTCGTTTTCTATGTTGTATTTTTTCATTTTTTGAGTATTTTTATTTAGTTGTACAAAGGAGCTGCCAATCAACAAGTACAATTTAAATTAGTATTTTGTGCAGGGTTTTTGTGTTTATATTGATGAGCCATGTTACTTTGAAGTTTTGTTTCTGACCTCATTCATTGAGTTGACAGTGCTTTTTTCTATTTTATAGAAGCATCTGTGAAGAATTAGTGTTAAGTTTTGTAAATGTTTGATAAAAGGAATGAAAAGTTTAATGAAGCAATAGGGAATTAATGCTTTCTTTAAAAAAGATTTTTAAATGCTCTTCAATTTGTTGTTACAGTTTCAAATTGTTCCTAAATTAGTCTAAGTTATCTAATTTTTTGGGGGGGCCCAGTCATGGGGCCTGAACTCTGGGCCTGGGCACTGTCCCTCAGCTCTTTCAGCTCAAAGCTAGCGCTCTACCACTTGAGCCACAGCGTCACTTCCAGCTTTTTTCATTTTGCTTATGTGGTGCTGAGGAATCGAACCCAGGGCCTCATGCATGCAAGGCAAGCGCTCTACCGCTGAGCCAACTTCCCAGCTCTAAGTTATCTAATTTTTTGTTATACACTTGTAACCATAGTTCTTTTATAATTTTTATTCTTTCCTTAAAGTCAGTGTTTGTACTCTAAAGCAGCTTTAGATTTTTCTCTTTTGTTCTCTCAATGTAGTCAATGAGTTTCTTTGTTATTTTTGTCTTTTCAAATAATTAACTTTGTTTTGTTTTCTCTCTTATTTTTCTATCTTTATTTCAGTCATTTTTGTTTTGATCCTTATTATTTATTTCCTTTCTTTGGGTTTATTTTGCTGTTCTTGCACCAACTTCCTGATGTAGCAGGCTAGACAGGTGATTTTGAGATGCTCATCACTCCAATATTGCTACTTCTGGCAATAAATTCACCACTAGCATTGCTGTGGCTGAATACGATCAGTTGGGCTATGTTTGATTTTGATTAATACAACTTTCCAAATACTCTGTGATTTCTTCTTTGTTTTGTATAATTGGTTCCACATGTTTAGAATTTTACAGTTTTTTGTTGTTTTAAATTAAATCTCATTAGGTTCAGAGGGAATATGCCTTGCATTTTTTAAACTAACTATAGTTGGTCTTACCTTTCAGCCTACTATATGCTCTATTTCTTGATTATGTTCCATGTATGCTTGAGGGAGAATGCACGCTGTAAATGTTTTGCAGTGAAATGTTCCGTGGAGACTTATTGGTGTATAGTTTTATTTCAATATTTACCCTCTGTATTGACTTGCTTATGTTAGTCTATTATTACAAGTTGTATACTAAAATCTCTATTATTAAATTTTCCTATTAATTTTTGGTTATTTTTTATTTTGCATGAATTCCTGCTCTGTTCTTGGATGCATAAACAGTTATAATTTGATAGCTTCCTGGTTGACATTGTTTTTTGCCATTGCTCTTTGCATCGTATTATTTCCAATCCTTTTACATTCAAGTGATTTGTGTCTTTGCAAAATGTAGCATGTCTCCTGTAAACAGTTAATTCTTCTGGGTTTTGTTTTCTTAATCAAATCTGACAATCTGATAATTGATTATGTAATCCACTCACATTTAATGACATATGTCTATTTTATGTTTATCACTTTGATTTATTCTGCTTCATAACTATTCTGTTCCTTCCTCTTTTGTTTTTCTTCCTGTTGTCATGGACACTTTCTAGCTTTTAGTTTTCCCTTTTATTTGAAGGTAATTAGGGATTCATGTGTATTTCGTAAGAATGGAAAGAGATCCTGTCCACTAACAGGGTGGATATTGTGGCTGAAACAGTCAAGACACAGGGTAATTGCATCCAAACAAGAATCTGTGGACCACACCCGCTTGCCCATTGCTCTGCTTGCTCTACCTCAGACCCCAAGTCTGTTCTCCGTTCATAGATGTGTTTCAAAAAATTACATAAATGGGGCTGGGAAGGTGGCTCAGTGGTAGAGCGCTTGCCCCTCATGCATGAGGCCCTGGGTTTGATTCCTCAGCACCACATATACAGAAAAAGCCGGAAGTGGCGTTGTGACTCAAGTAATAGAGTGCTAGCCTTGAGCTGAAGAGCTGAGGGACAGCGCCCAAGCCCAGAGTTCAGGCCCCACAACTGACAAAACAAAAACAAACAAACAAACAAAACCAAAAAATTACATAAATGAAGTCACTCAGTATGTAACACTTTGGGATTTTTTCCACACATACTTTCTGGAAAATTTCCCAGACTTAACAACTCCTTTTTTTTTTTTTTTGGCCCGGGGGGGGGGGGGGGGAAGGGGGTCTGGTCATGGGCCTGAACTCTGGGCCTGGGCGCTGTCCCTCAGCTCTTTAGCTCAAGGCTAGCGCTCTACCACTTGAGCCACAGCATCACTTCCAGCTTTTTTTTTCTGCTTATGTGGTGCTGAGGAATCGAACCCAGGGCCTCATGCATGCAAGGCAAGCGCTCTACCACTGAGCCACTTTCCCAGCCCACTTAACAACTTCTTAAACAAAATGTATGTTAATCCTTCAGATTCTTTTCTTCGTGCTAGCCTGTGCTGCTTTTAGAGACATGGATCCAGTCAGCCTGTCAGTGTTTTCAGGATGAATTATGTTGATCTGCTGGTTTACAATTCACATGTCTTGGGTCTCTTCATACATTACCACCTATCCATTCTCACTTTCAAACTCTTGTCTTTGCCCTTTTTTTTTTTTTTACTTTTCCTTATTGTATTCTTCTTGTGACACTATGTTTCTACTGTTAGTTATATAATTTGTTTTAGTAAAGTTTCAGGCAGACATGGCTTTGAATGGGTGTGGTAGATGTGCAATCTTTCTGATTTCCATTTTCAGATTTGCAAAATAGGCAGTCTTCCAGTTTAAAGCTAGAATTTTCTATCAGCCACTACTATCCATAACTTATTGATAGTGGAATTATACCATATTTTGCAGGCTTATAATTTTTTACATTTATAATCTCTAGATACATGCAATGATTTGTATGCTAATAAAATAATGTTGATAATTTAAACAATTTCTGACTTTATCAGATTAAATTTTAGATAAAAGGAAAACAGTAACTAAACATTAGGCAATGTATACATAGATCTCAAAGGCAATTGTCTTTTGCAGTACGATCACATGGGTTCTGACACAACCATTGTCACCGAAAAAATTTTCCAGTTGATTGTATTGACGAATGCTGTAAGTACTTGCTCTTTTGAAGTTTTGTACTTGTCCTGTGCTACTAAAACAATCTCTCTTCACCTTCTTTTAGGATATTGATTAAATGTACATGTGGTATGATACAGGAAAATTTAAGTATCATTTTAACTTCAGACTTTCTGCCTTTTAATTGGGCAGAATGACAATTATATGTACCTATTTAAGTTATTGTGAAGTAAATTAAATGAGAAACTTATTACATGCAAACAGCTTAGAAGTATTAAATATGATTTGTATTATTAACACTGTTGCTTGTTAGCAGACTTGTAAAGGTCCAGTGGAGGCTGACAGTTCACGTGTTTAATATGTGTGAGAAGTTTATTGTCGGAAATGTTTTGCTGCTTGAACATGTTTTCTGCATGTGTTTTGTTTTAGATTTTTGCTTCCATTAATCTCAACATAATTTTGTCTTCACTGGAATTTTGGACAGATGAAAACAAAATTTCAACCTCAGGAAATGCTAATGAGTTATTGCACAAGTTTTTAAAATGGAAACGATCTTTCCTTGTTTTGCGTCCTCATGACATGGCATTTTTACTCATGTAAGCATATTTTGGAATTACTGAAGCTTATCAAAAAATCAGTTTGGCACTATTTCTATTTTTCTCTTTTTTGTGGTGCTGAGAACTTGAACCTAGGACCTCATGCTTGCTCGGCAGGCCATGTACCACTTCATACACACATGCACATGCACACGAGTGCTCATAAACAACCCCCCTCCGCCACACACATCATTGTCTAATTTGACCCTAATTCTCAGGATTGGCAAGCCTTTGGAGAGAAAAGTCTTTAGTCATTCTTTTCTGATATTACCATATGACTATTATTTTTCAAAGCACCATACTTAGGACAGAATTATTGACATCCACCACAATAGCCATTGACGTGTAGCTCATCCTTCTGCAACCTGGATACCACATGCCTTCTTACCTTAAAATACCCACCACATCTTTAAATATCCTTAACCAGACCTCAAGTATCAGTAGCTACATGGAACATCAGATCTTGATTTTATTAATGTTGTGACTGAGCCTTCCTTTCAGTGTTGTGATCATTCTTTTAAAAATAACAAAGAAATGGAAACTTTACTGTGCATCTCAACATAATGTGAGCACCATGCAGCCTCATGCTGCTGAGGATTTTAGTATCCAAATGTGCCAGTACTAGGGATTGAAGTCAGGGCTGGACCTGTTCCTGAGCAATTTCACTCAGGGCTAGAGCTCTACCACTTGAGCTACTGTTCCACTTTGTTAATTGGAGAGAAGTCTCATGAACTTTTCGGCCCTAGCAGGCTTTGAACTCTGGATCTCCAGATCTCAGCCTCCTGAGTAGCTAGATTACAAGTGTAAGCCACCAGGGCCCACCTCTCCTTTTGTTTAATAAGCTTTTTGCTTTTCTTTTACCAGTATTTCAGAATACTTACATTTTTTCCATCTTAATATATGTTTTCTTCCACCTCACACATATGACATACTTTTTATGGCCTGTCTGGCTGACTTTTATTTATTTTTACCATAATTATTTGGGAGGATTTATTCATTTTCACATAGAATGAGTCTTCATCATATTCAACAGTGCAATACAGAAATTTCACTTTCTATTTTTTCTGTTTTGACTCTGTTCTATCACCTCAAAAAGATGCACAAACAGTATAGACATGGCCCATACAATGTTACCTGAATGCTATCTGAAATGTAAATGTAGCAATGACCCGAAAAGTTAAACTCTGTCTTTGGCCGGGGGGGGGGGGGGGGGGGGGGGGGGGGCAAGGAGTTTTTCTTATGATTACTTCTGCAAAATTGTATGATTCAAATCTATTTTTAAATTTCAGTTACAAAGAAGCATCTAATTATATTGGTGCCACCATTCAAGGGAAGATGTGTGACAAAAACTTTGCAGGAGGTGTTGTTCTGGTATGGTATGATGTAATCAGATTAAACTATATACGTAGACTGCTGGGTAGAAATGAAAGACTTCCTTACCTTATTATTTTCTTGCATACTAAATGTGTATTACTCTAGGAATCTTTGTCCCTACTGCTGATAGGCTACAAGGAGTCTGCACTGAATTTACCACATGGAAGAACTTTAGCCTGTTCCTCTCCTGAATCCAGCATAGCCTATTTAGAAGTTACTAAGGTGGTGATTATGACTGGGTACTATTGTAGTCAATAATGTTCACAAATTTATGTTAACTAGGCTTAGATTTTGTGCATTTTCTCAATTATGTAGCTGACATAGTTACAAGCTAGATTAAAAGCAGACCTTTGAAACTATCCGTCACCTTAGAATGCTTTATAGGATGCAAGTGAAGAGAACCACAGTCAAATGCCATAGGCTGTTGGCATTATTTAATCTCATAGATCTTAGTGTATGCCAAACTGGTACATTTTTGCCACTACTTCATATTGTTGTTCTCACAAACAGGATATGTCTTGTCACCTTGCTTTTTTGTAAATGTGCAACGTGTATTTTCTATTGAGCTCAGGCATGGAGGTACATAGCTGTAATCTCAGCTTACTCAGGAAGTGTAGACAGGAGGATCGAGAGTTTTAGACCAACCTGGGCAATGTCAGCAATGACTTCTCTCAAAAGCAAAACAAAAATCAAAGCATTGTTTGACGGGAAACATATTCATTGCCTCACTTATATAACTAACCCATCTGTACAACACCTTCACAACAAAAATTTTTTAAAAAATCAAAGCACCAGGAATGTGACTCCACTGGAAGAGAACCTGCCCCACAGACACAGCAAGAAAGTAGAAACACGGGGCCTAATTCCCAGGGCTGAAAACATGTGAGATGACAAACGTATTATAGGCATACGAATTCCCAACAGGATTGCCAAATGGATGAGTGACATTGAGAAATACTTACAGAAGTTATTTAAATCCACAAAAAGCTATAAAGATAATGAAAACAGAAAAAGGTAACACTGCATATTGTTGTCTTAACTGGAGAGGGAGAGAGAGAGCGCGCTCACTACCAGCGTTATCTTCTTCAGAAGAAAGTATAGATCTTAGAAAGGCTTCAGAAGTGAGGTACGCAGTGAAAGGACAATAAAACTCAATTTATGGCCGTTTGCCGGCGGCTCACACCTGCAATCCTGGCTACTAAGGAGGCTGAGATCTGAGGATTGCAGTTAGAAGCCAGCCGGGCAGGGAAGTCCATGAGATTTTTTTATCTCCAACTAACCACCAGAAAACAGGATGTGGAGCTGTGACTCAAGTGGCAGAGCGCTAACCTTGAGCAAAATAGCTCAAGAATGGCGCCCAGGCCCCAAGTGCAAGCCCCACAACTGACCAAAACAATAATAAATTAATAACATCTCTGGAGACTCAAATCACAACCTGTTCATAACCTGACATGTGCGTGCCTGAGTTTTTCTTCTGTGAGAGAAATTTAACAAAACAGTGTTGTCACTTACACCTAGCAAGTCACAGCAACAGCTTTGTTCCTCTGTCCAGTTCCACCCAGTGAGTCACCACTTGTGTGGCAGTGTGATTCCAGGTGTCACTGTTCCCAATCTGATACTCCAGGACCCGGGAGATGCTTTTATTTTGTTTGATTGTGCCGCTATTTAAAAAAATCTGATAGGGGCATGTATATTTTGATATTTAAGTAGTTGCACAAAGGGCTTTCAATGACGTGATTACTTTAAAAATTATACTTTTCTTACAGCAAAGTAGATCACACACACACACACACACACACACACACACACACACACACACACACGAGTGTCCATCCACAGCTGTGGGTTTTGTTTCGTTTTGTTTTCCCAGCACCCCAGAATCATAAGTCTGGAATCACTTGCTATTATTTTAGTTCAGTTACTGAGCTTCAGCATGGGTATTTCTTACGATGATTTGAGCAAGTGTCGCTGCCCGGGAACTGTCTGCATAATGAACCCAGAAGCAATGTAAGAGGCTTGACTTTTATATTATCCATATTTGGGAAATAAAAACCACAAAGAGCATGTGTTGAAACTCATAGCCAGTTTCCAAGCTGTGTCCTGAGCCGGTCGTGGGAGACGGTGAGCGCTTGGGACAGAGAGGGTGTTAGGGAGAAAGCGTTCTGGAGAGAGGTGGTGGAGAGAGTTGATGGTGTTTCACGGCAGATATGGGGTGAGCAGGAAATAGGGGAAGCCCTCAGTCTTTTATCCTGGTTTATTTGTCAGCTGGAGGTTAACTTCATTGAGTGTGGAAACAGTAACAGTACAAACTTGCAGTCTCGCAAGGTGCAAATGGTGCCTTTCCCTCCATATTGTAAAGATGGAGCACAAATATAAAGAATGGAAATACCTCTTCACACACACACACACACACACACACACACACACACACACACACACACACACACACACACACACACACACACACAACCTGAAGCTGGGCGCTGGTGGCTCACACCTGTAATCCTAGCTAGTCAGGAGGCTGCAGCTCATAGCCAGCCAGACACAGCCTGTAAATGACAAGACTAAGACTTGATGTGATTTTGGCTGGCCAACGATTGCGCATTGGTTTTCTTTCATGAGGGGCAGATGTTGGGGAGGGGCATCAAAAGTTTAGGGGATTTAAATTCAATGTGCCTATGAGGAAGGCAAAAGGAGAAACGCCGTGGAATGAATCGTATACTGAATTCTGGGAATGAATCGTATACTGAATTCTGGAATGTAGCAGGTACGTTTGAATTATGGAAACAAAAACATGAGTATCAGATATTGATGGTATTTAAAACTATGAAAGTGGACAACATTACCTATGAGTAAATATGGATAAAGAAAGGAGGTGGTAGAAAGCTTACCTAACACGTGCAAGGACCTGGGTTAGACCAGGACAGCAGAAGGGGGAAAAGAAGAGAAGGAGAAGGAAGGAGGGAGGGAAGGAGGGAAAGGAGGATGAAGGAAGAGAGGGGAGGAGAGAGGAAGGGAGAAAAGGGAAAAGAAGGCGAAGGGAGGGGAGGGAAGGAGAGGGAAGGGAAAGAGGAAGTGAGAGAGGAAACATTTGTTAATACAAGGGTGTTCCAAGGTTTGGAGATCATTAAGAGGGAAGGAAGGCATCCAGGGAAGAGAGATAAGGCAGTTTGTAAGGAAGAAGCTCAACAGGAATCGCAGCCATAAAGCTCCACGGGAAGGGCAGGCTGTCACAGAAAGACTTACACAAAAACTTAGTGCTGTGCATTTGCAGCCATGCCAGTGGCACCAAGACCTTCAGCAACTGCAGCCTGGAAGATTATGCGCTCTTTCTGGCAAGTCCCATGTCCCATTGTCTCCAGAACCAGCCGCACCTACAGCCGTCGTATAAGACAGATGCAGTGTGTGGGAACAGTGTCGTAGAGAAAGGAGAGGCCTGTGACTGCGGGTCTGAGGCGGTGAGTACCGAGCGAGGGCAGCCGGGCGCCCGGCTTGCGTGGCAAGCCGTCAGCCTCGAGCGCTGTGGCCTGGGCCTCTTCCTCCTCCCAGAGACACCTGAGCAGAACTGTGCAGTGATGTACGGGGGCACCGATGCCTAGATCTTTACACCGGTCAGTTTAGCTCTCTAGCTTTATTGAGGTAGAATTGAAAACCTAAAATTGTATGAATTTGGGGTATATGAGTCAATAATTTGATAGAGATATAGAGTGTGAAATATTCACCAGAATCAAGCTAACATCTCTGTAACCTTACATATATGGAAGCTGAGGATCCAACATGGTCCTCCCCCCCCCTCCCTCCCTCAATTCCTTCCTTCCTTCCTTCCTTCCTTCCTTCCTTCCTTCCTGCTCTTTCTTCCTCCTTCCTTCCTTCTTTCCCTTTCTCCTTCCTTCCTTCCTTCCACTTTCTCTCTTTTTCTGGCAGGAACTATTATTGATATCCCCCTCAGTAAGTTCCACGTTTACAGTGTTGTAACTGTAGTTGGCTGTGCGTTGGGTTTCCAGGATTTTTTCCTCCTGCACAACAGAGCTTGCACCCTGGACCTATCGCTCTCCACTCCTGTCTCACGCTGCTCTTCAAAGTCACCACTCTAAAGTTTGCAAACAAGTGACTATCAAGGTTACTAATCCTGAATCTGACTTGATCCAGGCTCTGGAGAACATACCTTTCCTAGCATGTCATTTTAACCTACACCCTCTTCTATTCAGAAAGGTAGAGGTAAGGTTTTCACGATATAATGGAAATATATGGAAAGAACGTTTGTTTAATACTTAACTAAAAAAAAAAAAAAAGATCTAAAGCACACACAAACAAAATGTGTTTTTCCAAACCACAGAAACACTACATAAAACTGTGAAGTTGGAGGAAAGTGGGAAGGCTAGAGAGAAAACAGAGATCAAAATGAATTAAGTAAGATTTTTAAAAAATAAGATCAAGTGAAGGAGAGGGCAAACTGTTGTGGCACAGACTGTATTGGGGCTCTTGGTCACCAGGAAGCCGTGGGTGGATTCCCTGTTCCCTAGGCAGTGGCTGAACATGACCTTTCCAACATAAAACATACATTCCTAGATACTTGAATGGTCCCCACATACCTTTGTTTGGTTTTCGTTGAGTGGAAATCCCATGAATTTTTTTCTTCATGAAGTCTTCACATAGTAGATCACATGGTGTCATTCAACGTAGTGATTGAGTCCTGAGCCACTGTGATCTTTTCCCCCAAGGGACTCCCACACACTTAGCAACAACAGCAACATTTGTTGGGAATATTTCCAGTGAAAACTACTGAAAGTTGTGTGTGTTCTAGTGGTGTCCTGCTATACATCATAGGAGGATCGTACGTGTGTGCGCGCGCGCGCGCACACACACGTAATGAAGTTTGATCTCAAGGCCATGCACTCTCATTAGGCTTTTTTGCTTAAGGCTGGCACTCAGCTACTTATACCACATCTCTACTTCCAGCTTTTTTGCTGGTTAGTTGGAGAGAAGAGTCTCGTGAATTTTTCTGTCCCTGCAGGTTTCACATCATGATTCTCAGATCTCATCCTCCTGAATAGCTAAGATGACAAGTATGAACCACCAGCACCCAGCTGAAAATTCTAAAATCTTATCCTTTTCTTTCCCATATTGTATTTAACCATCTCTTTGTCTGCACAAACCAGAGATCTGAGCGTCTATGCCCTGACAGAATGCATGGCTCAGAGAATTGTATTATTGATAGAATAAGGCTCACTCTAGAGATACACTCCTCCAGGAAAATGTTCCTACACCAGGGAGGTGTAGGTAAGTGCTAGATGTCTGATGGGTCAGTGAATGAACAGATGACCTTTTTAAGTTTGTTTGGAGGTGAGGCATCTCTTTGAGTGTTCTAGAATGTGCAATCATCATGTGTGCCTACTTCCAGCAAATGAAAACCTAAATAAGATGTCCTTGAGAGCATTTGTTTTGCCTTTCAGGAGTGTAAAGCCAAACCATTTCAGTGTTGCAATTTTCAAACCTGTACACTGGCATCTGGTATGGAATGCGACACAGGACCCTGCTGTGCAAATTGTCATGTAAGTGCCTTGAAACAATTGTTCTCCATGACTCACACAATGAAAACTATTCCCTCCTCCTCCTCCTCCTCCTCCTCCTCCTCCTCCTCCTCCTCCTCCTCCTCCTCCTCCTCCTCCTCCTCCTCCTCCTCCTTCTTCTTCCTTCTTGGTTCACAGTCTATGTCATTCTGAACCCTGTCAGTTTAGACAAAAAGGAACTATGTGCAGGCCTGCCCTGGAGGAGTGTGACCTCCCAGAGTTCTGCAACGGCTCATCTGCATCCTGCCAAGAGAACTTCTATATCCATGACGGACACCCGTGTGGACACAATATGTGGATATGTGTGCAAGGGACATGCAGGAACGGGGAGAGGCAATGCCAGGACCTGTTTGGACAAGGTACTTTTCAACTTTGTATAGAAGCAGTTTTTTTTTTCTGGTTACTAACAAGAAATAGATATTACACTTCATTCCTAAAATTGCAACAAATGAAACAGAAGCAGAAATTCGGTAGCTGTTGGCTGCTGGTCTGTTTCACACAAGATTTTCACAAACAAATGAGGTAGTTGAGTTAACACTGCGAGCAGGATAGAAAAACTAGCATTGAGAGTAAACCCTCTAAAAAGGATACTCTAGCAACCCCTGAGGCATGAATGAAGAAAATAAATTTGAACAAACAGCCTACAAGTAGGGAACTGCAGTGGACTTGGTCTTGGTGAAATGGGCCCTGGAAATTGACTGTCATGGAGTGTGAATTAAAACAATATTGTACGTGTAAATAAAATGCAACAAAATCACACTACTTGGGTTACAGTACACAGAAAAGATGATGAGTGTTATGATACGAGAAGAAGGGAAAGAGACTTTAAACATGAATCTTTATTTATTTATTTATTTTGAGTCCGGTCGTGGGGCCTGAACTCTGGGCCTGAGCACTGTCCCTCAGCTCTTCAGCTCAAGGCTAGCGCTCTACCACTTGAGCCACAATGCCGCTTCCGGCTTTTTTTTTTCTTTTTGCTTATGTGGTGCTGAGGAATTGAACCCAGGGCCTCAGGCATGCAAGGCAAGCGCTCTACCACTGAGCCACCTTCCCAGCCCATAAACATGAATCTTTAGAAACTTAAAGATCATCTGCCATTAAGTGAAAACCATAATTCTCTCTCATCTCTGGGGCAATATCTCAATAAAATGATTTTAAATAGATAGCACCAAGGCAAAAGAAACCACTCCCATCACCTCCATGGAAGACTCTGCTTCTGCAGTAGGTATCATTAGCTTGATTTGGACAAATCCTCCTAATGAGAAACAATGATCAAAACCAAGCAGCAGTAAGCCTCCACCCCAACACATGCATCTTAGGGGGGGGGGTCAGCTACAGATGAGTTCTCTCTGATTTTGTCTATCTCAGATTTCTAGAAAGAATTTATCTGAACATAGTTCCTGATTGACCGACTTTCTCTTTTAAAACTGTTGGTTTGAGCTCCGCCTCTAAACTGCTAATCTCACTGAGCCTCCTGGCCTAGGATCAGCCATTGCTCCTGGGCCACTTCCAAGGCTTCTTTGCGTCTTGACCCTGTACCCAAGCAGGGGTCTCTTTGAAACCACATCAAAGCCACCAATGTCTTCTTTTCTGCATACTAACAATTTTCTTTAATTTAAATACTCCACTCACTGTTTCTTAACCAGTGTCTCTGTCCCCGCCATGTCTCTCCTCCGTTTTGGGGATCCTTTTATACAGGGACCATGGTGCTTGACGGGTCCCACAGGCCCTAGATTTTGTGATTATCTTTCATTAATTATAATGAACTTTTAATCATTCTATACCACTTCACACATGGAAGCAGCTCTTCAAGAGCTTCACTCCTGCTCTTCCCATGTTCATATGACATTGTACTCACTGGAGGCTCTCAGCTCATTGCTTCTGGTTTTGCTTTAGAGAATTATCTTTGAGAATGATGGGGGGGGGGGGGGAATTGTGCTTGCTTCTCTTGTTCAAGGCACATCTTTTTATTTCTTTGAGTCGTTTCAAGTCTCTATGCAGTTCTTCCTTCCTCTTGAATATTTTTCATTAAACTCTCCTTGAAGAACCACTGGAAATGTATTTTTGGCTTTCCCTCTCTGGCATTTTAACGATGTTACTCCAATGCCATATGGCTTCTAAGGGGAAAAAAATCAGCCAGAATGTGTTTTTCTTTCATCAGGGTATTATCTGTTTTATCAGCCATCTTAATTTTATAAGTTTGTATATGTATGTGAATGTGAGAGAGAGAGAGAGAGAGAGAGAGGGAAGGAGAGAGAGAGAGAGAGAGAGAGGAGAGAGAGACATTGCTATAACACATGCCCGGGAAAATCCACTTAAAAAGAAGGGTACACTCTGAACATCTACTTATAGTAAAACATAATTTTTTAAAAAGTTAACTTTGGATTACAGTTTCAGAAATTTCAGTCCAGCATCACAAGGGAGTAATCAAACAGTTTGGCAGAAGCCTTTTGTCTTGTCTTCAACTAGAGTAGAGCTAGCGGAGGGTTTGAGAATAAGTAGTTCTCATGAGAATTAAAATTAAATAATTATGTACATAGATTTCAGGTGGCCAAAATAAATGATTATTTGGTGTTTTAATTGAAGAGACATTTATGCAAAATTATAATTATATTGGCTAGTGAGCCAAATATTTCTTTAAAATAGCCTGTATGTACCTACAGATATTTTTCAAGGCCTGTGAAAATTACAAGTTAACTGCAAGTTAATGCAGGGCTCTGTGTAATGTGTGTGTGAATAATAGCTCCTTTAAATACTTTACTAAAGGGGCTGGGAAGGTGGCTCAGTGGTAGAGCACTTGCCTTGCATGCTCGAGGCCCTGGGTTCGATTCCTCAGCACCACATAAGCAAAAAGAAAAAAGCCAGAAGTGGTGCTGTGGCTCAAGTGGTAGAGCGCTAGCCTGGAGCTAAAGAACTGAGGGACAGTGCCCAGGCCCAGAGTTCAGGCCCCACGACCGGGAAAAAAAAAAAACAAAAATAAATAAATAAATACTTTACTAAAGCGATTTTGTATGTTCATAAAAATGCATGGTGTATTAAACCTAGTTCTCATTTTCAGTTTTATATTTCGATTTCATCTTGTGTAGTAATATACTTTAGGCCATTTCAGAATGCTAAATGTGTTCCCAGGTGATTTTCATTTAAATTACCATATGTTTGATGTCTTTCAGAAGCAGGTTTTGGTAGTGACCAATGTTTTGAAGAAATGAATTCTAGGACAGATATATCTGGAAACTGTGGCATCGAGGATTCAGTATACCAAGCGTGTGCACCTAAGTAAGCTTTCAGAAATCTCACTGATGGGCTGGGAAGGTGGCTTAGTGGTAGAGTGCTTGCCTAGCATGCATGAAGCCCTGGGTTTGATTCCTCAGCACCACATACACAGAAAAAGCCAAAGTGGTGCTGTGGTTCAAGTGGTAGAGAGCAAAAGAAAAGCTCAGGGACAGTGCCCAGACTCTGAGTTCAAGGTCCCAATGCTGGGGGGGGGTGGGGGGGGGAAGCCACATTTAATGAGAGGATCAAAGTCCTAAGTGCAGAAATACAGTGTATTTCTGTTTCTCACATGCCACATATATTATCCTGTGTGTGTTGGGGGTTCTTGGGTTTGGTTTTTCATTGGGTGTGTATTTGGTTTTTCTGCATAATAGTATTTTCATTAAATTTCAGATTTTTGTTCATTTTCTTCACAATTTCTGTTGTTGTTTTGTTTTTGTAGTGCTAGGGTTTGAACTCAGGACCTTGTACTTGCTAGTCAGGAGTTCTTGCTGCTGAGCCAAAGAGATCTGTGGCTGTTTTCCGGCACTGTTTTCCTCTGGTCATATTGGAGATTAGGTTTTGCTTCCTGCCCGGGCGCAATCCGCCTATGTCCAGCTTGCTATTTAGTAGCTAACAGTCCTGCACCACACCTGGCTCTCCACAGAGAAAGGGAGGGGTCCTGTGGACCTTTCTTGTCTGGAGTGGCCTTGAACTATGACCTGCACTGAAGCATCAGAGAGGTCATCTTCACGGACAGCTCTGCCCTGATACAGATGAGAGCATTAAGTGAGCCAGACAGGTGCTGGGAGCAGACGCAGGGGGAAGAGCTCGGGCCCCACCGCCCTTTCCTGACTCTGCAGTGGCTGTCAGCGAGGAGATGCATCTCTACTGTGTTCACTGCGCAAAGGCTGTGTTGGCTCACAGCACAGGGGGTCCGGGAGGAGATGGAGACCTAGCCCGTGAAGAGCTAGCTAAGGGAAGATGGCCGACTGTCAACCTACAGAGCAGCCTTGGCAGAAGGCTGGTCTGGGGGTGTTTCATCCAGGATCTGGGTGCCTCCACTTCAGTGGAGGTTTGTTGCCACGTGAGGCGTGTGTGATCTTAACTGCCTTATCGGGAGAAATTTTCCATTTTTGTGCAACAATTGAAAGAAAAAAAAAAAAGACTCTCTGCAATGGATGTGTTGTCTTCAAACCATTAAGTTGCTTCTTCGCAGTTCCCGACATGCTAGGCCATGGCCAGGCCAGAAGGGGCAGCTGCCCAGAAACAAAGTCACAGTAAGGAGAGAGCACATGCTTCGCTCAAGCGCTGAGGAAGCAGCGTGCCCGCCTCCTGCTGCTGTTCGCTTTGGACATGCTAGTGCAGCACTTGCAAGAGCTGTTTTTGACCAGCTGACTTGGTTTAGGCCTGATTTTGTGGGAAGGAAGTTCAGTATCTAGAATCTTCTCAAGATACCTTCTCTCTTAGGACTCCCTTATTTAGATTTATCTATATAATTCCTCTATGTGTCTGATTTTTTGACAAAGTCTAGCAGCAGTCCATGATAAGCACTGTCCTCTAGGAGAAATAGAAAAGTTCCTTCTGAATCTGGGAAAGTTACTTGCCCTTCATACTGCTGACCTGCTCCATCTAAAATAGATTCTCTTCAATACAAAGAATCTGGGTATGTTTCCTTTAGCTCAGTACTCCCAGGGAGGAATTTTCTTAATTATTACCTCCTGTTTTCTTGTGGGAAGGAGACAAATATTTTATTAGGCTCTTTATGATATCACTCATTAGTCTAAGAGAGACAGACAGAAAGACAGAGAGACAGAGAGTTGGTATGAGGCTTGGACTCTGGTCCCGGGTGCTGTCCCTTAGCTTTTCCACTCAAGGCTGGTACTCTACTATTTGAACTCCACTTCTGCTTTCTGAAGGTTAAACGGAGGTAAGAATTTCAGGGACTTTCCTGCCCAGCTTGGCTTTGAATCGCTATCTTCAGATCTCAGCCTCTTTCGTAGCTAAGATTACAGGTGTGAGTTGCTGGGGTCCAGGCAAGTCCTTGATTTTATTACGGTCCTTTTCTGGTTACTTTTACAATTTTCTCTGTGATCAGGATGTGCTGTTAAGGTTTTCTTGCTGTATGTTGTACATTTCCCTTTTCTCCAGCGTGGGTTTTCAGGATCTTGTCAGCTTGGTACCCACAATGCTATGCTGAAAAGAAAACCTAACAGGACTGGTTATTACCAAGCAATCGTTTAAAAGATAGCATAACCTTATATCTGGCTGTGATTGAGAATAAACAGTGAAGGCATTCACAGAGAGAGGGGAGAGGAAGGGGCACACACGAACAGAGTAATCAAGTAACTGGGAGATGGTTCAAAATGATTAAAATGGTCCAATTATCATCAGCAAATCAGGAAAGACCATCTTTTTTTGATGTTGCAAAATAAATTGTAGACCCTCTTTTGCAAATCCTGAATGTTCTATTTAACTCTACTCACTCTAGAGATGCTATTCAACAATTTCTCTATTAAAATGAATGATTTTCCTTTCTGAATAAATGGTAGCAATCGGAAGTGTGGAAAAATAGTATGTAGATATAGAGGGAGTGAGGTTCTTAAACTACGAGATGCCATTACTGTGTACATCAACGCCAGCGGACAAGTCTGTGTCTCCCTGGAGTTTCCAGAGAATCATAATGAATGGCAGAAAATGTGGGTGAATAATGGAACGATCTGTAATGCACAAAAGGTAGGTCATCTTTCTTCTTTTCTCAGGTCACCTACCAATGTTGTATACTTTGTTCCTAAGGGATAACACATTTAGTTCTGGCTCTCAGCAACAACAGGTACCATCAACATGCTACATTTGCTAGTTCAGTGCAGGTAAGAGTCTCATGCACTCTTCTGTGCAGTCTAGCTTTGAACCATGATCCTCAAATCTCAGCCTCCTGAGTAGTAAGGACTATAGACATGAGCTACCAGCTGGTAAGTAGACTTTATTGGTCATTTTTTAATGAAAATTACATGTTGTAAAAATAGTTTCACATTGTGAGATGTACAATTCTGCTTATGATTAATATGTTCATAGTATTATGAAGTATTTAAATGTAAGTCACATTTACCTTTAAAATTTTTATTTTACTGTACAGATGCTGCAGAGAGGGGCTACAGTTACACGAGTAGGCAATGAGTGCATTTCTTGTCAAGCACTGTTACCCCTTCCCTTGCTGGGCTCCCTCCTCTCCCCCGCCTCCCTCACTCCTCCTCCCCACCCCACCTCCTCACCTTTTGTTTTATTTCCAGCTTATTCCTTTACAGAATTAACTAAACGTAGAGTATAATTAATCTTTAAGTAAATAATATCGTGTATAAGTATATAATAAGTACATAATATAAATTTGTCTTAACCATTATTTAATTAATTTCAAATTTGTATTAATCGTTAATTTGTAGATTGTAAGAACTGACATATTAGCATTAATATGCCCTCCAATAGATAAACATGTTGTATTTCCCCATTTATTTGTACATTTCTCATTTACCTGCATTTTTTTTTCAATTTTCAGTGTAAGTCTCTTGCTCATCTTTGGTTTCATTTATTCCTAGTATTTTTGTATTGTGACAGCATTTTAAAAAGTCCTGAGTTAAAGTTGATTTCTATTCCCAGTTGTAGCAATACAAGTGATTTTTGTATCTCGATTGTTCCTACTGATCTTTTGAAAGGCACTCGCTGCATTTAGAAATGTTTCTGTAGATTTCTTAGGGTTTTCTGCATAATTAATCATGTTATGTGCAAATGAACACAATCTCTCTTCATCTTTCCTAGACTTTTTGTCCCTTCCTTCTTTGTCGCTTAGTTTATGGTGAGGACCTGTCACAAACTGCTGTCTGGACGCTCTGAGAACAGACATACAGTGCGGAGGGCTGGTTCTCACATGTCTGCATTTGAGTTCCTGTATTCTTATCTTATTTGTGCTCATTTTGTTTGTGGGATCTCTAGATCCATGGATTTCAACTACAGGAACATTTCAGCCATCATTTCTTCAAATAATCTCTTTGTCCCACTTATTAATGACTCAAAAATGAGCAATTTGGGCTAGGCACTGGTGGCTCATGCCTGTAATCCTAGCTACTCAGGAGGCTGAGATCTGAGGGTCACGCTTCAAGGCCAGCCAGGGCAGGAAAGTCCGTGAGACTCTTATCTCCAATAAACCACCAGAAAACTGGAAGTGGCACTTTGACTCAAGTAGTAGAGCCCTAGCCTTGAGCTGAAGAGCTGAGGGACAGGACCCAGGCCCAGAGTTCAAGACCCATGACTGACAAAAAAAAAATGTGTATGTACATATATATATATATATATATATATGTATATATTTATATATATATATACATACATACAGTAATTTGGTTCTGTGTAAGTTCTTTTGGCTCTGTTAACTTTTCTTCACTGTTTTCCTCTGGCTTTGCAGAATCATTAATGTCAAGTATTGAATCTTCTGGTTCATTGATCCTTTCTTCTAGATGTTCAAACCTGCTATCCAACCCATCTACTGAATGTTTTCAGCATCTTTTGGTTCCTTTTTATCATTCAATCTCTTGGTTGATATTCTCATTTTTCCCCTGTCACTGGCCTGGTTTATTCTGTATCTTCTCCTGTGAGGTCCTTGGACACATTAAGTTCAGCCATTTTAAATAAACTTCTGTCACTTCATTATCTTCTGCTGTGTTTTTTCTGTTCCTTTTTGTACCTTGACAGTTTTTTTGTTATTGAAAATTGGGCATCTGAAAAGACTTCTACCTTTCCCAGTGTCTATAGATGGGCTCAGTATTAGGAAAGTTTCTTATTACTATTTTATTGATACATAATGCTTGCACATATTTAGGGGTGCAAGGCAAAATTTTGAAATATCCGTTGATATGTGTAATGATCAAATCAGAGTAAATAGCATATCTCAACATTAAACATTTGTCTTTTCTTCATTGTGAAATTATTCAAAGAGAAGGACAAGAGCTCTTCAGCTGAACAGGTCCTCCAGCCTCCATAGGGCACCTGCTCTGCCACAGGGATCAGGACTTACTCCTCCTTTCTGATTGTGACATTGTAACTCACCCTCCTCCAGAGCATCTCCTGATTCTGGTCACCAACCATCGCTCTACCAGCAACTTTTATTTAGCTTTTTCAAATTCACATAGGATTGAGATCACATTGTATTTTTCCTTCCGTTCAAAACTTATTTCACCTAACATAATGTCCTTTGGGTTCATTCATGTTGTCACAAATAACAAGATTCCATTATTTTTATAGCATTCTATATATGTAGCTAGACATGATACATAGATGATAATAGACAGACAGAGGATAGATAGATAGATAGATAGATAGATAGATAGATAGATAGATAGATAGATAGATAGATAGATAGATACAAATATATCAAATTTTGTTTATCCATTTATCCATGGTTGAGCATTTAAGTGGATTCTGTTTCTTGGCTGTTGTAAATAAGCTGCCATATTGATTCTTTTATACTCCTTTGCCATATTGATTTATACACATACACACACACACATACACACACATCACACACACATACACTCAAGAGTGGAATTACTGAATCCATCCTTTCTCTCTCTCTCTCTCGCTCTCTCTCTTTCTTTCTTTCTTTCTTTCATTCTTTTCTTTCTTTCTTCCATCATGGGGCTTGAACTCAGGCCCTGAGCTCTTTGCTCAAGGCTAGTGCTCTGTATCTTTGAGCCATAGCACCACTTCTGGTTTTCTAGTGATTAATTGGAGAGCCTTATGCACATTCCTGCCCCGGCTGGCTTTAAACTACAATCCTCAGATCTCAGCCTCCTGAGTAGCTAGAATTACAGGTGTGAGCCAGCAGTGCCTGGTTGAATTGTTGAACATTCTGGTAGCTTTTCATTTCTTTTTCTTTCTTTCTTTTTTCTTTCGTACTTTTCTTCCTTCCTTTCCTTCCTTCTTTCTTTCTTCCTTTGTTTCTTGTTCTTCACAGAAATTCTGTAATGCTTTACAAAATAGTTATGCTCATTTACATTTCCAAAGCAATATGTAAGAGTTCCTCTTTCTCCAAATCTTGCCAGGACCTGTTTGTCTTTTGACAATAGCCATTCTAACTGAGATGAGGCAATATTTCACTGTGGGTTTTGTTTTACTTTGATGTAACATAAAAGACTTCTAAGTGAATGGCAAGTCTAGATGACCTATAAACAAACTTTTGGCTTGCCTTTTTAGGTTTGCAGGAATAAGGAATGTGTAGAAAATTCATATTTGAATTATGACTGCACACCACAAAATTGCAACAATCGTGGTGTAAGTATCTGTACCATGAGCAAGAAAAGAAATGAGTTAAGACTAATCTCAAGAAAGCCAGTGCTCAGATCTCTGTCTGTCTCTTCGTATCTCTTTCACACTCTCTTGCAAGCTCTCTTTGTCTACACTCACGCTCTCCTCTCTTTCTCTTATTACCCACTCTTGCTTTCTCTCCTCTTCCATATGACACACAGGAAAATCAGCTCTATCTGACCTAATCCTTATTATTTGATCCTCCTTGGATACATCTGCACCTGTCTTATACGTGGCGCTGCCTGCTCTCAGGTATGCAATAACAAGAAGAACTGTCACTGCGAGGCCAGGTACTTGCCCCCGGACTGCGCAAATACAAATGAGGACTGGCCAGGCGGGAGCATCAACAGTGGCAATCACCCAATGGAGAGTACCATCTCTGGTAAGTAGTCAGAGCAAATGAAGACAGAATTAAAACAGCCTTTTACTTTACTAAGAGTATATCAGCTTATGGTTAGATCATATATGGACCTCAAACTATATTTGGCTATCTATGTTTTACTACCAGAGGATAAAATATTATAATATATGTGATATATATGTGACTTTATACATATACAATCACATAAGACATTTTATAATATATTTATTATCTGTATATAATGAGAGAGAACCAGGAGGAAAATAGATATTGTTTGGTCCTGTAACAGAAGGAATTCAATATGAAGCAGCAGGAAACACACAATGGGAAAAATGAAAAGTTAACCAGAGAATGGCAAAACAGCCCGGTGCCAACAAGATACTACTACCCCTTCTAAGGGCTAGGGAGGGATAATATGTAGAAGTAATATTACCCAGACCTGAACCTGATCTATACACCGCATGACAATAACCATAGTTGGGCTGGATAGCAGGGTCTGGGCTCTTCCATGCGTAGAGGTTTAAAGAACACAAGCGCCTACAGGCGAAGCCGGAGAGGATGCTGAGAAACTCAACAGCTACTTCATCCAATCTTCTGGTCCTCCATTCATTCTATCTAGTGATCAGGCCTGAGTAGAAGATTCTTACACTGAAGTGTAGATATGAAGCTAGAAATACCCAAATTAAATACATAAATAAATAGAAATATCCAAATAAATGGGATCTATGACATGTTTACCTATTGAAAAGCTTATTAATTCTAATATGTCAATTTGCACCAAATTAAGTCTACAATTTTAATGACTAACACAAAAATGAAATTCATTAAATAAATAATACACACACATTGTATAACCTGTGCATGATACTATTTATTAAAAGGTTGATTATACTCTAAGTTTAATTAATTCACTGTCTATAGATTGAAAGTACCAATCATAGCAACATGTAACTAAAATAGACAAGAAAGTGCTTAGATGAGCCAAACAGACCTGCAAAAGAACAATCAAGAAAAACCACCAGCAAGCAGTGCAAATCCATCTGCCTTCTACTGAATTTACAAAGATAACTATAATACAGTACAGACTTTGGACAAAGGTCCATTGAGCAGGGTAGTGTGGCATTGATGAAGGAGAAGGAGAAACTCACAGAGGGGTGAGGGTTTAGAAATACGCCTACTGGACTGGAGCCACTCAGGGAGGGAAAAGCCAACAAACTGAGCTGAAGCACTTGGATATTTGGATAAGACCAACGACCTGCAAAAGCCCAGCATATTTACCAAGCTCTGAAACAGGTCCGTGAACGGTGTCTTTCGTCTCCCCAAGGAAACCGCACAGTGTAGAAAGACACATGGAGATTTCTTCACAATCTTGGGATAAACAACAACAACATAGACAAAATGTGAGGAAAAAAAAAAAGAAGGATGGTTTCAATGGAAGAAGAGTTGATTCAGACTAGGTCTTTTCACGACAAAAAGTTTGAGAATAGAGGAACAAGTCCTACAGGGATCACCCCTTAATTCTTTTCATCTGTATTATCAGATGGAGACTTTCAGGATTAGCAGCTTCTCAGTGAAAAAGCAAGGGGTGGGACTCTTGTGTGAGCTCAGAGGGCTTGCTCTGGTCATTAGACCACTGACCTTCTTCCTTCATATAAAATATGTGAAGTATCAAAGTTGATTTAAAAAATTTATTATAGTCATCCTGATAAACTTCAGAAATATCTTTATTATATTCCTGCTGGTTGCTTTCTAATCCCAAGCATTTGTTTCTCATAGGAAGGCAGTATTTTGAGAGTGTTTACCATCCCAAACCTCCCAGGTGGCCATTTTTCTTGATCATTCCATTTTTCATTATTCTCTGCATCTTGATCGTGATGCTGGTGAAACTTTACTTCCAAAGGAAAAATTGGAAAACTGATGACTACCTAAGTGATGAGTATATTGATTTCATATTTAAGTTTTATTATTTCATAATTTGCATAAATTATTAGCATGTAATATACCTGAATAATTATAATCATTCATAGTTAACTCTTGTCTTTATGTAAGCTTAATACTTTACACGTTAGTGATTCATACAATTAAACAATGAACAGAAGGCCAGTCAGTTTAGTCTTACAAAACTTGGATTCCTTTTGAGGTAGGTAAAATTAAATGAAAATGGTTTCTAGAAAAAGTTTACTTTCGGGCTGGGAAGTTGGTTCAGTGGTAGAGCACTTGCCTTGTATGCCTGAGGCCCTGGGTTCAATTCCTCTGAACCACATTAAGAAAAAAGAAAAAAGCCAGAAGTGGCACTGTGGCTCAAGTGGTAGAGCGCTAGCCTTGAGCTGAAGAGCTGAGGGACAGCGCTCAGGCCCAGAGTTCAGGCCCCACGACCGGACCCCCCCCCCCCAAAAAAAGAAAAAGTTTACTTTCATTATTTGATTTTAATTATTAAAAATGTATCAAACATTTACTTTTTAGCATTTATATATTTGAGATAATTTTTACATACTACTTTGATAAATGACTATTACAGGAAACTAAGATTGCCTTTTTGCATTTTTAGCCTTTCTTTAACATAAATTGAGGAACATTTATTCAGAAGTAGAAAAGATTAAAAATGAATATTTAACATAACACTAAAGATACTAATCTACAGTAAAAGAACTAGAAAAACTTTTTCATTAAAAAGAGGTATCTGAAAGTGTGCTATAATGTGTGCTATAATAATAAAAGTAAATACTAAAATTGGTTTACTTCATTTAAGAAAAATAGCTATATCTGCATTCGAATTTCATACCTATACCCTTCAATTTACTTGACATAAGCTGAATTTTATTACAACACTTAATTAAATTAGTCAAACAATATAGATAGAACACATTTGGTGGAAATATGTAGAAACGTTAGCATGGAATTGCAGAAATAAAACGAAGCCCCCCAAATTGTTTTAATTCAATTAATCCTGAAATATGTTGAAATAATTTTCTTATACTGGATAACCTCATTGTGGAAAAATTGATATCAAATAACTGTGGTCCAGTGGTGTGGGAGAGAGAACCAACAAATTTAATGGAAATAAACATGGATTAAAAAAAAAAGAAAGAAAGAAACAGGGATAGATATAAATGGGGGGAAAAAGCTTAAAAGTTATTTAATACTAGTATAACACCATAGGAGTCCGCCTTCGGGTGACCATGTCACATGACCTGTCCTCCTAGGGGAGGGGCCCAGCTCACAGCAGGGAAGTGTGCCCCATGCTAGGGCATTCCCAAACAGTGGCCACACACAGCCAGCACACAGGTAGAAAATCAGAATAGCTTGAATGCCAAGAGATGACACAATGAATCTCAGTATTTTTATTTTTAAATTCATAGGCAAATTGGGAGTGAAAGTGAAACCAGAGAGTAGCCTGGAAGAGGCACCGGCATGTTCACAGTGAGTGTGTCCTTGGGGAGTGTGTGCGCGGGCTCTGGTGGACTAACTAATACAGAAAGATACTACACCTACATAGACATAACACAAACAACCTGGCAGAATAGCATTCAATAATGTGACTTACACCATAGACCTGTACCAGTTTCAACTGACATTACAGATTTGTCATTGAAGACGTTTCTTGCATTTTGTTTTCAGTTATTTTCTCTAATTAGATTGATCTCTTTTGCATCTGTGGGCTCAACATGTCTGTGCCTGCATTGTACGTTGTAATGGCAGTTCTCCTGTGGTCTTGTTTGCACCCTGGCATCAGTTCACTTGCTCAGGTCCTGCAGAGGAACTCTTTTCTCCTTTATTTGTCCTTTCAGAGCAACTACGGTCAACGCACAGAGGAAAGCGGAGGCCGATCGCAGGCACCCCCAGGTTTACCAGGAGTCAGACTTACCTACCGTGGTTTCCATCTGTGCAGAGATGCATACCATTTACATAGATATGCCTAGCATTTCACAAAGTACTTGTTTGTAATAAGTGCATGGCTATGAGTTTTATATTACATTTTTCTTGTTTTACAATTTACCCACCCTATTTGTAGTAGCCAGTAGGCGCTGTTTCTGTGAGCTAGTACCCATGTTTTGGAAAAGTTATAATGTAATGTTTGTTGTGATTAAAGATATGGTTGTGTTTTAAATTGCAATAGATATATTGTTGTGTCTGATGGTTTGTAAACTACCCCAAAACAATGACCCTGAGATTAGAAGACATCCTCACATCTATGCTATTTGCCAGAACGCTCATGTTCAAGTACATGCAATTCCAGAATAAAGGATGGAAAATATATGCCACAAGAACATTACACAAACCGGGCACCGGTGGCGCACGCCTGTCATTCTAGCTATTATTCAGGAGGCTGAGATCTGAGGATCAAGGTTCAAAGCCAGCCCAGGCAATGAAAGTCTATGAGACTCTTATCTCCAATTAACCACCAGAAAACCGGAAGTGGTGCTGTAGCTCAAGTGGTAGAGTGCTAGCCTTGAGCTGAAGAGCTGAGGGACAGCGCCCAGGCCCAGAGTTCAAGACCCATGACTGACAAAAAAAATAATAATATCACACAAAGGAATGCTGAACATCTTTAACACGAAAAGAATTTGTAAGACGACAGAGAGAAAGAAGTCACAGGGCAAGAGACAACCAGGAAGGGAACAGGCTTGCTCTGGTAGAGCTACCCACTCTTATGGGAGAGAGCTCCTTCCGATGAGACCGCAGGCACTCCGCAGGCCAGCATGAATCTAGTCACACATGGGGTCATGGGACCCCACCACTTCTCACCAGGCCCCCCCATCATGGTGCATTTTGATGCCAGGATGTTGGTAACCAAACATCAAGCATGGAAATGTTTGGGGGACAAATCTTACCCAAGCCACAACAGCATCTTAACCGCCTTGAAGTGTGCAGTTCAGTAGCATTACGCACATTCACATCTGGGTATAACCATCACAACCACACAACTCCTCCACTGTTTTTGTCTTCCCAAACTGCGAGATGGCCTTCACTACACTAACTTCCTTTCCTCACTACCCCGAGCTTTCCTCGGCCATCCTAGGTGTACCAACCACAGCGCGGAATGGGAAAGTACTTGTCCTTTCATAACTAGCTCACTTCCTCTTCCACAATCCACCCATCTATCCGCTGCGGGACCTGGCGTTGGAACTACTGCTTTTCTGGATGCCTGTACACCGGGTGACTCTCATCTTCACATCAACTCTGGAGATTTCAGTTGAGCAAACAGACTCCGGGGACCACGTGGCCAAGGCCAGGCTTGTGACTGAGTCAGGACACTGACCTCGGCTTGTTTGACTCCAGAGCCCAGGTGCCACCCACGGAGCTATGTTGGGAGGGAACATGGACTTTATTCTGTGGGCTGTGGAGCCAAACAGAGAGGGGAGGAAGACACTGAGACAAACTCGATGTCCTGACTGGAAAAGTGACCTGGAGGGGAGGGAAAGAGAGAGAGTGATAAATTGCAGATCTAGAAAGGAGAGAGGTCATTACAGCTATTGTCAGGAGATCAGTACCTTTTCTTTGGTTCTGTGGTGGCAGCTGGGTTTTTATAATATGATGGGGGGGGGCTGTTGTTGTTGTATGTGTGTGTGTGTGTGTGTGTGTGTGTGTGTGTGTGTGTGTGTGTTTGCCAGTCCTGGGGCTTGAACTCAGGCCCTGGGCACTGTCCCTGAGCTTCTTTTGCTCAAGGCTAGCGCTCTACTACTTGAGCCACAGTGCCACTTCTGGCTTTTTCCATTTCTGTGGTACTGAGAAATCGAACCCAGGGCTTTGTGCATGCAAGGCAAGCACTCTACCACTAAGCCATCTTCCCAGCCCAGTAATAGGGCTTTAAGGGAAGAATTTGTGCAACCCCTGGGCAGGGAGATATCAATATCCAAATTAGTGATCTGACCACCAGAAGACAGAAAACGGAGGTAGGTAAGTCTCGGGCTTGGGTATGTCAGGATGGACACAGGGCTGGACTGATGGATGTCCATCAGTCCTGCCAGCATGCCTGCTATCCACTCATTGAAGAACCCAGTGGGCAAAGATGCCTCTTACCTGCAGCCCTCAGTTTCCTCCTCTGCAAACAGCGGGTCTGTTTGGATAGCTGTGTCACTGCGGTTGTGAGCTGAATTAAGGCTACTTGCAGAAACTGAGTCCCTCCTTGCTGTCTCCTCCAGGCAGATTCCCAGCACCCATCTGGCCAGGACCAGGCAGCGAGGCTGTCTGTAGCTTCTGTTGTCCCAGGAGACAGCAGACTTCCTGCTGCCGGGGTGGAGGGCGGCCTCTGTGTGGGAAGCCCACCGTCCTGGCCTTCACCCCAGCCTTGCCCCTACACCACAATGGGTTCTCCTGGAAGAAAGGAGGAGACAGGCTAGGCAGGGGCATGCTGACTCATTGAGAGGTGTCTTACTGAGGCTGGGAAGGTGGCTCAGTGGGAGAGTGCTGGCCTTGCATGCATGAGGCCCTGGGTTCGATTCCTCAGCACCACATAAGCAGAAAAAGCCAGAATTGGCGCTGTGGCTCAACTGGTAAACCTCTAGCCTTAAGCCTTGAGCTTAGGGATAGCGTCCATGCCCAGAGTTCAAGACCCACGATTGGTTGGGGGGAAAAAGAAAAAGAAAAGAAGCGTCTTACTGGCACTGGAGACTGAAGGCCATCTGCTGTCTTTGTGCTCAGGAGCACAAAGGAGCAGCCCCCTACCAGCTGGGCGGATAGGATATTTGTTGTGTATGTGAAAATACAGCCTCAGAGTCATATCAGCAAGGCAGGTACCAGAGTACGCCCCCCTCCCCATCCCGTTCTCCCTGCTGGGCTGATGGACTTTCTGTGGGTGGACAGACTATTTCTCTTTGTGCTCACTACGTTTTTACTGCGTCTCAGTGTCCTTTGCTCTTCTGGGGCCCATTTGAGAGCAAGCCCCTGTCCGGGCCTCTGCAGGGCCGAGCTCATAAGCAGCGGCCAGTTCTGCAGTGGGACAGGGGTCATAAATAAGAAGCAGCGCCAGCACGGTCGACCCGCCCGGAGCAGACGCACATCCATCACCGCGGCTCCGCCTCCGGAGCCCTGGCATCCATCACACGGCAGAAGGCTCCATTGATTCTCCATGGTACCGCGTCTCATACTCAAAAACCCTTCCAAGCCCAGATTCCGTACCACGGGTGATCCCTGTGGCCTTCCCTGCCCTGCTCCTGGTGCGGGTCCAGAGCGCTCAGGAAGAGCGAGGTGGCCTCCCAGAGCGAGCGTGGTGCAGGACACGGATCACACTGGCACTGTGTGTGCCCATTGTGTCTTGAAGGTGCCCTTGACACCCACGAGTGAAGTGCTTGGTCCCAGCTTAGTGCAGGAGGGAGGCAGTGGGGACTTAAGCTGTGGTATCCACCCCCCAGGACCAGTGACTCAAACTTGTAATCCTAGCTACTGAGGACACTGAGATCTGAGGATCACAGTTCAAGGCCAGCCTAGGCAAGAAAGTTAAGAGACTCTTATGTCCAGCTAACCAGCAAAAAGCCAGAACTGAAGGTATAGCTCTGGTGGTAGAGCACCAGCCTTGAATGAAAAAGCCGAGTGAGAGGGCTCAAGGCCCTGAGTTCCAGCACCAGCACCAGCACATGTGCATGTGTGCGAGCATGCCCGCACACATAGAGGCCACAAGGTCCAACAGGGCACGAGGTGGGGGTATGTTGTGGAGGGGGGAGAGTAATGGGCTGTGTGTCTTTGCTCTGCTACACCCGACACGCGGCCTGACCCAGACCCAAAGCAACAGGGCTCATAGATCAAGGACTAAAGCCTCTAAAACTTCCAGCCAAAACAAACTTTCTTCTTTAGAAGTCAATTGACTTTTGTTGTGGTGACAGCAAGCTGATACCACATGGCTTTAGGATTCTGCTCTCTGGGACCTCAGTACTGGACCCCATGACCAGCCATTGATGTTGCCAAGAAATAACAACCCCCTGCCCACAAGATGGAGAATTATTTTTCTCACCCATTGTAAGGACCATGGGCCTTGACAAATGACAGGATGCTGAGAGAAAAGCAGAGCTGAGGCATGGCTCAAGCGAAAGCACCCGTTCAGCAAGTTCAAGGCCCTCAGTCAAACCCCAGTACCAGCCACAAAACATTTTTTTAAAAGGGTCACAGGAGAGTTTTCCAAAACAGAGATGTGAAGACCCAGGGCAGTGTATTTCGTAGGCATGGGTTGAATGAAGAGTGAGACTGACCTCATAATAGAGAGGAAAGGCAGCAGGGCTTCGGTGTCTTAGTGGCCTTTCTTCCCTGAGGCCTAACTTTCTCAGAGAAAGCAGAAAGAGGCCTTTCTAGATGTAATGGCTCTCTTTGGGGGAGAAGGTTCTAGATTCTATGACTGGCTTGAGGAAAAGAATTCTGGTTTCAGTGACTGGTTCTGGGGAAGAAGGAAGAGCAGGAGACAAGGAGGTCAGAAGAATTGTGTTTCTGCTTGTCCTAATGTCCCTCAGTTACACACGCCTACGAGTGGAAGCTCACCTCCTAATCCATTCAAACTGGTGTGCGGCTGGGCTGCGAAGCCTCACACCTTTCATCCTAGCTACTCTGCAAGCAGAGATGAGGAGGATTGAGCTCCCAGCCCAGGGGGAAAGTTCCTGAGACACTCTCTGCACAGAAAAAGTGAGGCACCGTGAGTGGTTCATGCCTGTCATCCCAGCCTCCGTGGGAAGCAGAGCTGGGAAGATCGTGGTCCCTAGTAGCTCATGCAAAAATCAAGAACTTGTCTCAAAAATACCCAGAGCAAAAAGGACCTGGGACATGACTCAAGCGGGAAAGGGCCTGTCTGGAGAGCACATAGTCCTGAGTTCAAACTCCCGTACAGCCAAAGAAAAATGAACAAGCTCTTTAAAAAAGAGTTTGTAGGCCAAGACATAAGTTCTTTTTTTTTCCCTTGTGAAATTCTGCTCTTCTGTGATTTCAATGCTGCAGGGCAAAACACCTTAGCCTGCAATAAGAGGATTTGGAAACTTCAAAGACAATGCTTTGTTTATACAGCTCAAAGAGAATTTCGGAGAAGCCCAGTTTGAATGCCTGCAGGAGCAGGTAGAATTCATCACCTTGAGTTCTG